TGTCATTATGAGTATCATACATATGTCATTATAAGTACCATACCTATGTCATTATAAGTACCATACATATGTCATTATAAGTACTATACATATGCCATTATAAGTACCATACATATGTCATTATATGTATTACACATATGCCATTATAAGTACCAAACATATGCCAATATAAGTACCATACATCTGTCATTATATGTATTACACATATGCCATTATAAGTACCATACATATGCTTTTATAACTAACATACATATGCCATTATAAGTACCATACACCTGCCATTATAAGTACCATACATATGTCATTATAAGTACCATACATATGTCATTATAAGTACCAAACATATGCCAATATAAGTACCATACATATGTCATTATATGTATTACACATATGCCATTATAAGTACCATACATATGCTTTTATAAGTAACATACATGTGCCATTATAAGTACCATACATATGTCATTATAAGTACCAAACATATGCCAATATAAGTACCATACATATGCCTTTATAAGTACCAAACATATGCCATTATAAGTACCAAACATATGCCTTTATAAGTACCATATATATACCCATATAAGTATCATTCGAAATAATCTCTAAGTTAATAAATAATATTAAAATTACTTTATTTTTAATACCCATTTTTTATTTAACTCATTGTAATTATTATTACATGTTTTTCAACTAATTTTCCATAATAATATGTTGAGAAAACTCGATGAAAAGTTTGACATTTGAGTTGGCTGTATCTCAGTAAATATTGGTGTTAAAGCCTTAATGTTGAAAATTAGCAAAGAAAGACTTAACAGAAAGAAATATAAATTATTGTGGTAAACACAATGGTAACATTTTCAAAACAATTCTATGGCTGGTTTTGATTTTGAGTTTTGAGAAAAAAGACGATTTCGCCCGGGCTGGGATTCTTCCCCGTCGACTGGGCTGTTGGGCAGAAAATGGAAGCGGCTGACGAAAGTGACGTACTGTCCCGTTTTCTGTTTTGGGTCCTCTGGTAGGTTAGGAGAGGGCACTTTAAAGTCACCGTTTTCTTGACGCTGGGAAACATTAGCAAGTTACCATACATATGACGATATAAAGTAATATACATATCACCTTATATGTATCATACATATGACCTTATATGTACCATACATATGCCTTCATAAGTACCATACATATGACCTTATATGAACCATATATATGTCATTATAAGTACCATACATATGACCTTATATGAACCATATATATGTCATTATAAGTACCATACATATGCCATTATAAGTACAAAACATATGCCATTATAAGTAACATACATATGTATAAATAAGTACCATACATATGCCTTTATAAGTACCATACATATGACCTTATATGTACCATACATATGACCTTATAAGTACCATACATATGACCTTATATGTACCATACATATGACCTTATATGTACCATACATATGACCTTATCAGTACCATAAATGTGACCTTATAAGTTCCATACATATGACCTTATAAGTACCATACATATGACCATATATGTAAAATACATATGACCTTATATGTACCATACATATGATCTTATAAGTACCGTACACATGACCTTATGTGTACCATACATATGACATTATAAGTACCATACATATGACCTTATATGTACCATACAAATGACCTTATAAGTACTTAACTGTATAAGAAGAACATAAGAACAAAGGCAACTGCAGAAGGCCTATTGGCCCATACGAGGCAGCTCCTATTTATAACCACCCAATCCCACTCTTATACATGTCCAACCCACGCTTGAAACATATGACTGTCATTATAATAATAATAATAATTTTTATTTAGGTAAGGTACATACATAAAGAGATTTTACACAGTTTGTTGGCTTTATAGATAGAGCTAGTACATACAATGCCTAAAGCCACTATTACGCAAAGCGTTTCGGGCAGGACAACCACAACTCACAACCCACAACTCCAGCTATTATATATACTCCAACTATTATATATTCAATAATTTAAAAGTATTTAGTAGATTTAAATCATTAAATTTAAGTATGGGAAAAATGAATAGCCAAAAATGATTTATTATAGTTAGTGTATCCTAGGAATGGTCAGTAATTCGTCCTTGTCGAATAGGGCAGTGTTCTGTATTCAGTTAAATCATAGGCTCGTAACCCACTAAATACACCGAAACTACGACGTTGGTACAAATTTCGAACAAGTTTTAATTTAACACCTAACCAGTTATAACAACCAATATAGCAAGTTGTAACAACGTTCTAATACGTCATAAACACGTTAAGCCAAGATGTAACAACTTAATTACAAGTTGTAACAATGGGAAAATAGAGACAGTTTCGGTTTGTGTTTCCAGTGAAGGTCAAAGGTCGCGCGCAGCTTTGACGCAACAATTAAGTCAGCTGTTTTCTATCCATAGAAATTTCACCGATTTAGTCAGTGTCCATTAATATTCTAGCACAATATTAGCTACTCTAGTCTTCGGAGTTAAAATATTCCAGCGTTTGTCTATTACTACTTGTATTGCGATAGTGTTGACTAGACCACACACTAGAAGGTGAAGGGACGACGACGTTTCGGTCCGTCCTGGGAATGGTCCAGGGCGGACCGAAACGTTGTCGTCCCTTCACCTTCTAGTGTGTGGTCTGGTCAACATTCTTCATTCACGTTATTGTGACTCATCGCCTGTATTGCGATAGTGGTCCCGATAACAATGATATGGGTGGTAGTGGACCACAGTGATTAGTTGTGCACTATATACATATCTTGTGGGCGGTATAGTGAAGGTTACTAGTGTCTAACGAAGGCTTATGAACTGCATTTACCTAACTTTAACAAATGTATTGCAATGTCAGGTTTTTAAACCCCACATTTCTAATGTTGACTTCTTCTCGTCCTCAGGTCCGGCCAACTCCAGCCAGTCTAGAGGCGGCGACGAGGACATTCTCTGTACTGAACATCTACAACGACGAAATAAAAACAAAAAACAAATTCAGAAGCCGTAAATGAACTCCAACCCATTGATGTTGTGTATTGAATTTTGTAACTAACTCAAGATTGTAACTTACCTAAATAAATTGTGGGGTTCAATCCCTGAGCCCATTATGAGCCTCTGTAACCCTTTCATGCGAATTATTAAATATAATTTTATTAAAATTTACTAAATCAGATTTCTAGAGTGCTAACCGTTGAAAGGATGCACTGTAGAATAGTGGTTTAAATCATGGGTTGAAACATTACACACAAAATGCAAATTATAACTTGTATTAACTATTGTACTAGTTATTGTTACTGTTTGTACAATTGTTATTGTACAAAAATGTAAACTCTTACATATATGAACTATTTTAGTAAAGAGAGCATTCATGTCAGTTATCTTTGCTGATCACTTCACTACAATCTTAATTAAGCCATAATCATCCAAAATACTAGAATAATGAGCCATAGGTGGTCCCTATGTATACCATAGGTGAACTATAAATCTTTTTTTTTTTCTGTGGATAAGTAAACACACCATGCATAGGGACTTTTTATTAGTAAAATATAATGTTTTAATGTAGTACATAAAACATATGGTATTAATGAATAAACTACGTAACGTGCAGAGAACTTACAATAGTTAAAAGTGAACTTCAATAATAATTTAAGATATCATTTATATATTAAACTTACAGAACACCCCTAGACATAATTATTCATTATTTAACTTTGCCTCAAGTCAACAAGATTTTCTTTATTTTCTGGGAATATTACTGCTCAGAGGCAATCAAGAGATAGTAATAAATTCCCTAAAACGAGCAAATGATTTAACAAAACTTGGAGAACTCTGCGCTCAGCCCCACAAGGTCTCCATGCTGTCCTCTGTGCTCAGTCCTACAAGGTCTCCATGCCATTGTCTGTGCTCAGTCCCACAAGGTCTCCGTGCCGTTTTCTGTGCTCTGTCCCACAAGGTCTCTGTGTTTTCCTCTGTGCTTAGTTCCACAATTTACGCCTTTTTTTTATACAAGTTCAAAAAATAAAAAAAAAAGTTCTTTACGTTCTTGTACACCCACTAGCATGCATTGCATTTCGGGCAGGCCCTTAATCCTAATTGTCACACACATACACACACACACACACACACATACACAGGATTAGAGACTGGTTGAGGTTTTAAGAAGACCTGGACAAGCTGCAGGAATGGTCGAACAAATGGTCATTAGAGTTTAACCCAAGCAAGTATAATGTAATGAAGATAGGTGTAGGGAGCAGGAAACCAGGTACAAAGTATCATTTGGGAGATGAAATACTTCAAGAGTCAGAGAGAAAGACCTGGGGTTTGATGGCTTCCCCTGAAGCCCATATCAAGAGGATAACATCAGTGGCATATGTAAGATTGGCTAACATAAGAACGGCCTTTAGAAACTTGTGTAAGGAATCTTTCAGAAATTTGTATACCACATATGTTAGACCAATCCTGGAGTATGCAGCTCCAGCATGGAGTCCATGTCTAGTCAAGCATAAGACTAAACTGGAAAAGGTTCAAAGGTTTGCCACTAGACTAGTACCCGAACTGAGGGGTACGAGCTACGAAGAGAAACTACTGAAATTAAACCTCACATCACTGGGAGACACAAGATTTAGAGGAGACATGATCACCACATGCAAGATTCTCAGAGGAATTGATAGGGTAGATAAAGACAGACTATTTAATACAAGGGGCACACGCACTAGGGGACACAGGTGGAAATTGAGTGCCCAAATTAGCCACAGAGACGTTACAAAGAACTTTTTCAGTGTCAGAGTAGTAGACAAATGGAATGCATTAGGAAGTGATGTGGTGGAGGCTGACTCTATACACAGCATCAAGTATAGATATGATAGAGCCCAGTAGGCTCAGGAACCTGTACATAAGTCGATTGACAGTTCAGAGGCGGAACCAAAGAACCAGAGCTCAACCCCTGCAAGCACAACTAGGTTAGTACACTGAGCTCAGCATACCACTTCAGCTGATTTTTCAGACTTCCCTGTGTACAGGAGTCGTAGCAGATGTGTGGAAAAAGGCTAACATAGTTCCAATCTACAAAAGTGGCAGCAGGGAAGATCCCCTCAATTATAGACCTTAAATTATAGATCTACTTAAACACTGTATTTCTAAAACATTCTGAATACTGTAAGCTTATTGCATAATTATAACTTGTATAAACTTGTGTCCTACTCATAGTGTTAAGCATAAACTTGTGCAATTGTTGATGCAACAATTGCATCAACAGTCAACAAGTGCATCAAAATCCAACAAAGGTAAATAACCTTTGATTGGATTGAAATTATATTGTTCTTGAAACCTCTTCAAGGTCTAAATAAGAGTGACTTACTAATATGGATGATAAATGTAGACAAACTCCAACATTCCATCAAATAAACATTGTCCTTAAATACAGCAATATTTCTCCTTCCTCCACCAATTTTTTTTAAATCGTTTGATAAATTGGCAGCTAACTGCCTTCGGCAATCTCAAGACGTACCACCAGAAGGTAAGCAAATGCAGTACAGTATACCCTTCCTGTATCTATGCTATTCTTCTGTTCCATTAACAGCTGTGCCACTGAAGGTCTGTGACTTTTTGCCTGTGCTTGTCTGTGTGTGTCTGTGCACTGGCAGTGAGCACACGATTAATTATCCCTCTTCCCTCTAACGAAGCTATACTTCATTACTTCCATATTCTTTGCATTCTAACTTTTATGTTTCTGCCCAAATACTTTCATTCTTTGTGCCAGAAGGTGGAACTCTAAGGAAAATGAAGTGTTTTTGAAAAATTGAATTTAAGGTCACCTTTATCAAAAGGAGCTTTACTAGGAAGCAGAGCATCAGATATATAATATAGGTTGACACATCTGACAAGTTTGGCGAGGCTTGAGTGCATTAACTGTGAATGTCACACATGTGCACTTGCATCAAACTGTAGCATTTTCATAAAGAAGTTGAAATGCCTTGTATAAAATGGCAAGAAAATACACATCTTCATTCTTGCCACTTTTTACCTGCTCGATAAGACATGTGACTTACAATTGATCGTAACTGTGTCCAATAATTTGTTTATTTTAGTAAACCCCCCCCTTTTTTTTTTACCAGTGAGCATTATGCATTTCAACAACTTTCTGAATCAAGTCTCTATGACTAGCATAAAGGTTTAACCGACTATCAATATCTTGCCACTTAACAGCTTGTGCATCATCTCCAGCATGCAGATGCAGGCTGTACAGGGCACCATCTTGGTTACTTTCATGGAAGTTGTATGCAACTGTCTCCATCCAGGCATTGTCGGTATTACGCGGGTCGTCAACATATCCACGGAACACTTCTTCACCTACAACACAAAAAATAGTGTGCATGAATAAACAAGGCAAAAGTTCCATTGTGGAAATTTGTTATTAACATTTTGAGCAGAGTACAGGTGTAAAACATTTAAATCTGTGATTAGCAAGGGTATACCATATGAAGCTATAGACGGCCAACCCTTGACATTGCCACTCTGGCAAGGAACTCCCATCTGAAATAAACACTAACAATTTGACAAGCAAAACTTTTGATATACCTAATAAAACATGGTATCTAGTGGTTGGCAACTGTTAGCAGGACAATGCCATTTTGACAGTAAGCTGCATGTCACTGTTCCATTAAGTGCTCACAAGTTAATCATGTTTAACCAGTATTTAACTTAGCCAGAAGAGTTTTCCACTTCCTGTTTTGATTGGGAGGGTCAATTGTGTATGTGACATTTAATCTCTCTAATGTTCACAAATTGCAGTGTGAATGACAAATAGAAACTGGAGTAAGGAATTTGCTTCTGGGAGATAATTCAGGTACAAAAAACCGCTTTAGTGGTGGTGTCTGTGAGGTTCATCAGTGGAACTGCCAAATATAATTCTTTTTATCGGGAACAAGAAGCCTGCGTATACTTTAGGCCTGTATCAAGATTCTCCCCACTGTCGAACTACTGACTTTCCCCAGGAAGCAACCCACAAAAGTGGCCTATCTCCCAGGTACAGTATCTATTTACTGCCAGGTAACAAGAGGCATTAGATGAAAGGAAATGTACCCAACCATTTCAGTAGCACCTGAATATCGAACCCAGGATTCTATCAACCAGGCTATGATTCATACGTCATGTTGTGAGCAGCCACGTCAAACAGCCTAGTCGACCAGTCCAGCAACCAGGAGGCCTGGTCGGGGACCGGGTCGAGGACAACGTTGAGACCCGAAAACATCACAGAATAAGGATCCTCACTTGCAAGTCTTAAATCTGCTCGAGATGAGGTACAGCCAATCTCTAAGAGAGGATTTCTGTCTGTCCAAGGTTGGAGGCTAGATGCTTGGAGCTACCCCCCTTCCCCCCAAACTTAGCAGTAAGAATGGTCTGCAGCATGGCACAGACATAGGCTGATCGGGGTCACCAGAATTCAAGAGGGAATAGCATGTGACGGTCACATACTGATCCCCATGACTGAATTTGGGACAAATATTTGAAAAAAAAAAATTCAATTTTTTTTTCTTTAAATATGAAAAATTATGCACTAATCCTGGAAAAATTAAAACAAAATTCTACTCGTCATATCTCGCCCACAGAAACATAAAACTGATGATCTTCCCACGGCTTAAAAAGTCTTTCAAGTCCCTCACATTATCAAGGCCAGAGGGAAGTCATTATATTTTTTAATATTTCACACTGTTAGGCTCCTCCCACCAGCAGATCACCTGCACACCAATGGGAACTATTACTGTATATTATTTTTATAAGAGAGAAGCATCAACACGCACAGATAGACCTGCAGAGTGGGCAAAGAAATATGCAGGAAGAGACTGAAAAGAATAGACAGGGAAGGGATGATGTTTGAAAAGTAGGGGAAGAGGAGAAAAAGACATAGAGATGAGGGAAGACTGGGGAGAGGGGGAAGGGGAATGTTGAGGGAGAAAGGTAGAAATGGAAGGGCAAGAAGGGGAGACACCTGGGTACAGCCAGGTACCCACTCCAGTGCTGGGAAAAGATATCTATAAAAATCTTGTAATATTCATCTACACCGACTATATTTTGAGTTGGGTCACATCTGTTAAAGATTATGCCCAAATGCGGGACCATACTCAAGATAAGTATTACATCATAAGCTGTATAATAATGACCATATTGACACTCACTGTATACATGTATAAAAACTCATCAGTATTTACCCGATTTACATGAGGGGGTCACTAACACTAGCGGCCTTGCCGAGGACAGGAAGCCGGTGGCTTGTCGAAGGTCCCGAATGTATGTTGACTTGCATGTTATATTACCAATGGTTTAAAAGAGTGACCTCGATTATCCAGACCAAACTTAAAACCTCCAGATTCTGAATATTTGAATAAAAGATCACGGCACGTAAAGTTTAGCATTTTTTTATCGTTTTTAAGAGACGTGCGCTATATATACCTGTAACAGTGTTCTAACAGAAAAGCACCAATGTATAGGAAACCAATTATATTTTTGTATTCTTTGGTATGAATAATGGAATGGAGAACTGGAAACTTTTGTCTGATAATCCGAGTACCCTGAAAACTCACCTGAAAATGGGGTTTCGGCATATAAACAAGTGTATTATAATAATAATAAAAACTTTAAAGTTCAGCACAAATGACTGACAATACATTCAATCTTTACATTTAAAGTTTTAATTGTATAGTACAGTACTGTATTCAATACAGTATAAAAGATCCTGTTTCAAAGCACTAGAGGAATTGATATCACACAGTCCCGAGCAACCTAGTGTGCCAAGTATACTATACTTATTGCATAGTATCAATACATGATAGTTAGACTACCCTTTAAGTTAAATAAACATTTGTGATATGATACATGTAAATGATGGAGAGGGGAGGGGAGGGAAGGCATAAGTATCCAGTCACAATGATCAATCTTTATATTATGACAAACTGCATAATTTAATGCCACTTGACTCGAGCTGTACAAATAAACTGCATCCGACTGTAGACGTATACTCTACAGGATATCAAAAGTACAGTATTATAGTATTGATATTGATATAGAATATTCTATATATAGTACTGCATAATAACAAAAAGTACTGTACCCATCTGGAAAAGTTTAAGAGAATAATTCTAACCTCCTTGGAAGAAGTTATTTAGCTTCTGTTCAATTTGTTGCTTTTGTTCATGTGTCATCTCTATAGAATTCAAAGCTTCTTCTTGGAATTCTCGCTGAAGTGTGGCGCTGACTCGTTCTCCTGGGTCCACCATGCCCCCTGGTATGGCCCACTCACCACTATCACGACGCTGAATACACACAAATTGTAGAATGGGCTTCCCAGAGTTACCTGTTGATGCCAATTATTGCAGAACAATGTATGTGATTTTTTTTTTAAGTATTTATGGACAATATTACAAAGATCTCATTACACTTACAGAACCGACTTGCTAAAAGTACAATACTGAATAATAAATAAATGACTGATTAGAATTGTAAATGTGTAATAATAACACAAACACAAACTTTTTAACTAAAAATGTTTACATAATAAAATATAAGATTTTACAATTTAAGTAAATATCATAGCAATTAATATTTATAAATTAATAAGTACTATACCCGAGTACTGTACAGTACAGTTGGCTCTCGATCTGAGCAGTTCGGCATTCCTTGAAAACTTACGTAAAGCCAGTCTTGTGCACTCTTAAGAGACTTGCACCTTTTTCTCAAACCACACATCATTATTATTATTTAATATGTGTGCCGCTGTCCTGTCCAAATAAACTATAACATTTGTACACACAACAATCACATTGGAAAAGTAGTCTAAATTTTTTCCTCTTGTCCGTGTTTACCTACCGGTGTCTGCGGCCCGACATATGTTTCCAACTTCCACCCATGTTCTTGTTTTTCTTTCCCCATTTACCCTCAGTTTTTAAAGGCTATCTTTGATTACCTTATTTATTCTTCTCAATATTTTTCACTTGTACACCTCACTTGTTAATTAAATTAATAGGTTACAGAAGGGTTACATGACAGTGGCAGTCCGGGAAGAAGGAGGGACAACAGCAGGACAGAAACTGTGCTGGACAACACTGTAGTCATCAATGTGGAAGTAAAAAATAAAGATTCCTGATGGAACTATATTTGACAAAGACAATGAGGCCAGAATAAATATCACCATGGCTGTTAAATGACTAGGATCTTCAATAAACCATTAGAGATTATCACACTCATATCAATCAGAAGAAAGGCACATTAAATGTTTATCTTCAAGATAGGAGAAAAGCAGGAAGCCCTAAACTATAAGCCCAATAAGGTTAAGGTAATGAAGATGAAAAGTAATCCAGAAGGATGCTACACATAAGAGGCAGACATCTACAGGTACAGTATAAGAATAAGAATGTTTGGGGAGTTGATATAATACTATCATTGACACTGGTAGAACATGTAAATAGAATAACATCAGCTGTATGTGAAAAATCGGAAATATAAGAGCAGTGGTATTGCCTCACCAGAAGCAATACCATGACACTGCCCTCCACCTCTTACCCCCGATTTCCTTGGCTTCAATACATTACAACTGGCATTGATCGTTCATTCAAGATGACCCCATCATAGCATGCTCTCTTCAATCACAGACCTTGGCGACCCCAACGTATATATGAATTGATGGAATAATTCCACAGGTGGAAATACTGTATACAGTTACAGTAGCAGGCAAGTGCAATGAATACAACATTTTACTTACAAATTAGACGAGTATATATACGCCTGCACAGTATACTGAATGACAAAAAACAGATAAAGATTTTCCCGATACCCACCATGAACAAATTCGTTGCCAGCAATTTTCCATCGAGTAACAATTGGGTCAGCTGCATGATTAGGCCCCCAACGGCCAAGGGCTCCACGACCAGCAATACCTGTGCGGCCATGCATGTTCCTTAAAAGTAAATATTTGCATTATTTTTTTTCTGTGTTCATACTTTTCTTGCACAATACGATTTTACTAATAATTGCTTTATTTAGTACTTAATTAGCGAGAAGCCTTATGTTAAGTTCCCTCATTAATTTCATCTATGTAACTTTGCTATTTCATTAGGTAAAGATAAAACAACAATGTTGACTAATTTGAACAGTACATATAATAATAATAATAATAATTTATTTACAAGAAAGTACAATGGGTGGGCGAGATTACATTAGAGTGATATTTTTACATTCTTGCAAAGCCACTAACACGTGTACATCTTATGTACAAGGAAAAAAACAAAAATCATTAATGTACAGCATTTCATTATATGTAAGATTGTCTTGTAAAATACTAACTCATGTTAGATTCAGATTCATGGTGCTAAGCATGGGGAGACTGGCAAGTTACACTGTGGATCATGCTCATACAGTATTTTTGCAATTAGCGGAATGTTTAAAACGGCTAATCTATAGATATAACTACAGTCAAGAGAGGTAGGTCTCTGTCTCTCACATTATTAACCTCAAGGATAAAAATAGAATGTTGAGTGCAATCTAACACCTATTTCTGGGTTCTGCCTCAGTAGCTCATTTTGTTAATGCAATGCCTGCTGCTGATCAGACTTAGACAATGCCATGTATCCTAACATAGACTAATTGCATACCAGGAACAAGGCCGTTTACAATCACCCCTTACACATGGGAACCAGCCATCAGCCCAAACTGAGGCAAACTTCCCTGAATGCAATAAAAGGAAGCATCATGACACTCAAACTTTCTCAGAGAAATTATTTGAAAAATACCAAAACAAAGTTAGCAACTATTGTATTAGGAGCAGCCAGACCGGCGACCAATCAGCGGAGTCGTAGCGATCAACGGGTAGTTTGGTGGTTGGAGTTCGAACAGGTGGCTGGTTGCATACGTTTCTGCTCACCCTGGCAAGCCTTGCTGGTGCTGGTGTTGTTGTCGTTGTTGGACATTTCTTCCATAGTCTTTTTATATAATTGTGAAGACGTAATTTTGGAGGGAAGAGCAGGCTCAATCTCTTGAAGGAGATTATCGTCACAACTCTCCCCGAAGCCTGCGGTTCTGGAAGAAGTACGTCGTTATGTGGTGGAGTAATGGATGGAGTTGCTTCTACTTCATAAACTCTGGAGAGATCATGGGCTAAGATGTTGTCAGACTCTTGGTATAGCGTGTCTCCAGGTTGAATTTCTGCAGGTAGCAAGCCCATAGTAGAAGACGTTGAGATGAGAAGTGGGCGTGCTGCAGGAGGTGTAGGGTGGTGTGGTCCGTGTTGATGGTGGACCGAGCACTTTTCAGGTGTGGAGTGAAGTGCTGAAGCTTCAGGATGAGGAAGAGTAGCTCCTTGCCAATTGTTCCGTCGTTCCTTGTAGCAGTAGTCGCTGACAGGTGAATTCTTCTCGCCTCGTTGCTGCATCACGACACCACCATCGTCGGTACCATTGGCGTCGACATGGAGGATGTAGGGCTTATCTGACGAGGTGAGAGTGGAATTAGAAGAGGGCATAGGAGCACGAGTATTATCCTGAAAGCATTTGGGAAGATCATTAAGGATTTTGGAATTAGAAAGCGCCGACTCCTTGTCAGTGCTTTCGGGAGAAGAAGCCGGGATGGTCTCACTGTGGATGTAGGGTTCTGTGAAGGTAGAACAATTAATCAAGACAGTGGGAGGAGTACCATTATATTGCTTCAGGAGGTTGACGTGGCACAGCTGGGTCTTCCGCCGCCTATCTGGAGTCTCTATGACGTATGCGTTGTTGTTTCTGCACTCTTTGACGCAGTAGGGTCCTGAAAATCTGTTTTGTAAAGGTGAACCTGGGATAGGGAAATAAGCAAGGACGAAGTCTCCAGGCTTGAATTTTCTTACTTTGCTGGTCTGGTCGTAATGAGTCTTCATTCTCACCTGGGCTTTCAATAGATTATCATGAGCAAAGCGGTGGACTCTCTCTAGAATGTGTTGAAGGTTTTGAAGAAACTGGGGCACATTCTGATGCTCACTGAAGGTGGCATCTCTGAGAGAGTCTTTGAAAGCCTTAAGGGGAGTACGGCACTTACGGCCGTAGAGCATCTCATAAGGAGATACTCCTAGGGACTCATTGGGGAGACTTCTGAAAATACACATTATTAGGTCAATCTGCTTATCCCAATCCTTTGAGGTTTCACTACAAAACTTTTTCAAGAGTGCTTTGATGGTCTGATGACTACGTTCAAGAGAACCCTGTGAAGCAGGATGATAGGGGCTGGACAATACCTGTTTGATGTTGAACTCCTCCAGTGTTCTTTTGAAGAGATCACTGGTGAAGTTGGTGCCACAGTCACTTTGAATCTCCCTGGGAAATCCGTATTGAGTGAAGATCTTCAGTAGATGTTTGATAACCGTAGCAGCCGTGATGTTCTTCACTGGAACTGCTATGGGAAATCTGGTGGTAGGACACAGGATGGTTAGGATGTAGGCGTTACCTGAACTGGTCCGAGGTAAAGGACCAACACAGTCTATTATGAGTCTGTGGAAAGGTTCCGCAGGCACCTGTATGGGAATCAGTGGTGCTCTGGGAATGGAGACGTTCGGTTTGCCTGCCATCTGACATGTATGACACTGTTTTACGTACTGTTTGACGTTATTTACCATACCTGGCCAGTAGTAGTCTTGACGAATCCCATGGTAAGTCTTGTTGAAGCCGTAGTGGGAGAATGCTCCGTGGGCCAGGTGTAGAATAGTGGGCCGCAGGCTGGTGGGAATCACAAGTTGTTCGGTGTTGGCCCAATCGTCCTCCTCCTTCAGTTTACTGGGTCTATATCTGCGGTAGAGCAAGTCGTTCTCTAGGAAGAACCCAGGAATACTGTCGGGTTGAGTCTCAGCCTGGAAAAACAATGGTGTTAAAGTAAGATCTTCCCTCTGCAACTTACGGAACTCCAACTTGGTCAGATGCGGGGGTAGTTTCTGAGGGTCTTGAGGGACAGCGGTAGCAGTAGAGTCAGCTGGCTGTGGACGTGCGGCTTGTGCACGGGTGGTCACGAGAACCGGAGGAGAAACTTCATCACTCTCTTGAACCTCTGCTGGAACATACTCAAGAATAGGGTTACTAGGCACAGAGTTACACACCTGGGGTTTGTCCATGACGATCAGGTTGGTCGGTTGCAGGTCTTCTGTCAAGTCGTTGCCTAGGAGAAGTTGCACTCCAGGCATGGGAAAAGGCTTTTCCCTGACGGCGACTTGGACTTCTCCGTTCACGTAGGGACAATCCAGGTGGACTCTGGCGAGAGGGTATGGAGTGGTAGCAGTGAGGTCAGTGATGAAGACTGTTTCCCCGGTGTAGACTATGTTGGGCACAGCCGACTTCAAGATGATCGATTGTAGAGCCGCTGTGTCCCTCAAGATCTTCAATTTGAAACGTCCCTCCGGATTTGAACCGTTGGCAGAGACAGTTCCAGTATACAGGTGGTTACTGAAAAGAGAAAGATCATTAACATCAACACCAACATTCATCACAGGCTTACCGGACTTAGGAGGAGTTGGTTTGGGTCGTTGTTGGTCAGTGGTTCCCTTGTATTGAGACTTACCACACTTGTCTATGGTATGTCCATAGAGTCTACAATATTTGCAGTACAGTTGTGAACCAGCTTGATCGGGGCTCACCTTCTCGTAACTGTACCACGACTTCTTACTGGAGGATGGTTCAGGTGTCAGCCGGTGGATGAGGCTGTAAGTGTCAGCCGACTTAGCACACTTCAGGTAGTCGGTTTCTTCTTTATCTGCTAAGTAGAGGCGGACAGGAGGCGGCACACGTCTCAAGAATTCTTCAACAAGCATCAGGTTGACGAGTTCTGTAAAAGTAGAGACATGTGCTGCTTCCAGCCATTTCATGAAATACCTCCGTTTCGTGTTAGCAAACTCGAGGAAGGTAGTGGTACTTGCCTTCAGGTGGTCACGGAATTTCCTTCTATAACTTTCAGTAGAGAGGAGGTAGGCGTCCAACACTGCTTGTTTCAGAGTGTAGTAGTCATTCTCAGACGCCAAAGTACTGAGTGTGACTGCAGCTCTACCTGTAAGATGGACTCTGAGAAGTGTGGCCCATTGGTCGACAGGCCAACTGAGTTGATTAGCAAGGGTTTCAAAGGTGGTGAAAAACACATCAACTTCTGCTTCTACAAAGGATGGCATTAACTTACTTGCATGTGATATATTAAAACTGACGGGAAGATTTGCAGTAGCTTGCTGGCGTTGAGTGAAGTGTGAAGTTTCCAAGGAGATTTCGCGTTGACGACACTCTAGAGCCAGAGTTGCTTGTTGCTTGTCATGTTCGCGTTGCATCTCCAACTCGCGTCGTTTGGTTTCAAGCTGTACTCGTTCACGTTCACGGAGTAATGCGACCTCGCGTTCGTGTTCTTCTCTCCTCAAAGCAGCTTCGCGTTCTCGTTCGTCTCTCCTCATAGCAGCTTCGCGTTCTTGTTCTTCCCTCCGTATGGCAGCTGTTCGTTCTTCAATCTTGGCCAGCTCTAGTTTGAGTTTCAGCGTTGCCAAATCAGTTTTATCTGCAATATAGTAAGTTTCATGAGTTTCAGAGTCTATCTTACCTTGCTCTAAATAGTAATCCAGCAACAGGTTGTGTAGGTCATTTTTGTTGGCTTGGTAGGGAACTTCTAGTTGATACTCATGTGCAAGAGTTTGTAGTTCAGTCCTCTTGGCACGACTCAAAGTCCCTATTTCACCTGCTGGATTTGCACGGAAAGTTTGGAGACGAAACATGGTGAAATTAGCAAATAAAGGTACACGAATGTTCAATAATGAAATGTCAGAAACAGGACAACGTGGCAACTGGCACCTATCCTGTGTGATCTTTAACAATTAACGTTAAGTGAAAGATATTAAATGATTAAATTAAATCAAGGGCGCAGGAAATCTTGTACCCGGTACTCATGTAAGAGAATAAGGGCAAGAAAATCCTACTAACAAATGAAACAAAGTTTCGAAAACAAATGAAACAGTTAAATGCTTCAAAAGTAAAATTGGTAGTCCAAGGATGTAGGCATACCTTGCCAAGCCTCTATAGGACATAAAGCAAGTTTTTCCTACTGAATTTAATATGATACTTACAGAATTAGCGAACTTTTGTGCTCTGAAAAAATAAGCTAATTCCCTACCGTTGTATGTATCATCATCTCTGACTGACGTGTAGGGGTGCGAGGTGTCAACTGGTGACGAGAACTGCTGCTGAGGTCCCAATTCAGCAACTAAAGTTCGAGCTAGAGGAACTATGGCCCTCTTTGTCCTCCTACAGTCAGATTGCAGAAGATTGGGTACTCTTAAAGAAGCAATTCAAACACACTCCTGAAGTAAATATCAGTAAGGAATGACAACTAAATGCCCCCTACAGGAGTGTGTCCAAAGGATGGACTACACTTGAATGAAGTGGAACTCACTAAAGCTAGCAACTTGGTAAGGTTTGTTTGAGAATATCAATGACAGGACTGAGGTTATAATGACGTGGGAGCTGGGAGCAAACGGTAGTGTTGCCACCTGTTGGTGAGGAGTCGTAGCTAGATGGGTTCGACCTAGCTTCTGAGCAAATCGCTGGTATAATTGTTTGGCCGTTTCAATGCTTTGCTTTCTGTGAATCTTGCAGAAGTCTGTATTGCTTCACTAACTTTTGGATATTTTCTCAGTGAGGTTGATCATAATCCTATGCTCACTGTGCCTATGTGAAGGGGGGGGGATCTGGCTCTGGTTTCAGTAGAACTCTTAAGGTTAATGTGACTTGGTAGGGAGGAACTACCTCAATGAGCCACCATTTGGCCTCCCCTCCAGAAAAAATAACTCGGAAAACCTGCAAACAGCAGTATCGGATATAGAATTAGACCGAAAAGCTATAACAACCCAACCAATAACATAATAAAGAAAAAATACAGGGCCAGTCACAATTACAACACAAGCATACAGCTAATTATTACTCTCTCCACCAACAGGCCTCGCAGTGGGAAGCAAGTCCTGTGCACTAACTGGAAGCGAAGTGACTTGTCTAGAGTCAACTCACCGAGGAACTCTATTCCTGATCAGGGTAGGTATCTCTGGTGAGACAAGGCAAATACAAGCCAACTATCAAGTATGAAAACCCTGGCCCATAACGGGCCTGAAATAAAAGGCTAGAGCACAAAATTTGAAATTAGAGCACAAAGAAATGGCTCCTAGCAGAACTAATGTTCGTGAAACAGCAAACACAATTTTGTCAAACGTGTAAGATTCCAGGTTTTATAAGTTGTGAACATGTGAACAAATTAGAGGGGAGGCTGGCTAAAACCTCAGGTGATCTGGGTTGCCGCCTGGTGGTGCTCGGGCGCATCATAGTCAGGGCGTTTGCACAGTACCACTGCAATGGTTATTTGCCTCGTTACCCCTGGGTGCCAAATTTTCTTCAGGTAGTTGCGTGCTTTATTGTGTTTGCGATATCTGGTGAATTTTTCTCAGCATTAATGACAAATTTAATTTCATTCACAATCATATCAGTGAGGTTTCACTGTTATTCATGCAACAAAATATATTGATCACCAAAATTAATAAAATAAGTATCCAGTTTCTTAAAAATAAACCAATGAACCTGCAACATAATCTTACCAGGGAAATCCATCATCAATGCTGTAGGTTCCTTCATGTGAGCGGCGATTGATTTTTCCATCTAAAGTATTCCAGCAAGGTACAAATCCTGGAGAACTGAAAAGGAAACAAGTCATGCATTACTATATGGCAACATTCTTTGATCCTCGTTGCAAATTTCCCTTTGTTAATATTTAACTGATTTCAATAACCAATGTAACTGAAGAAATGTACTGTACAGTATATTATTTTATTTCATTTCTGTACTGTAATTAGATTGTATTTGTATTTTGGACATGTTAATGGGTGTATGGGTTCGTGGAGGTATTAGTGAGTGTTATAGGGGAAAATAGTATAAATATTTTAATTCGGTATCATTTTCCCGGCATGTTCCACCAGTAATGCTCAGAAGCAGATTTTATCGCAGTCAACTGATGCATCCAATACAGTAGCACAAATTTATATAAAGTAGATGGTAACAATATTTTCCCCTCACTTTATAAAATTATAATATCCACTTACATACTCTAGTAACAAGAGAGCAATCTACAGTGAAGTATTGACCACAGGCACCTCCAGCCTCATAAACCACGGGCACCCCCAGCTGTGTAAACCATGGGCACCTCCAGCCTGGTAAACCCCAAGCACCCTCAGTCTCATAAATAATTTGCTACCTGTTGACAATTTTTCAGTCTTCTGCACAACCCAGTGGTTAAGAAACCAATTCCATCTGGCCTTATTTCTGACTGGGTTCTCTTCCCCCTCCAGCTGCTTTCAGCTTACCCAAATACACACTCTTAACCAGCTTATAATCATCCATTCATTCATCAAACCATTATCATTCTCTACACAAGATGCTGTACTTATTATGGATCTTTCATTATATTTCTTTGTGACAATAGGTCTCTTACCCTATCTCAGGGTCAGCATATGCCGGAGCAGCCAGAATGTGTGCAGCCGTGTACTTTCTCGCTGCATAATCGGGAAAAGGTACTGACCACTCCACCTTGTCATTGGGAACCTCTGCTCTTTTCACCTGCAACACCATATATTAGTCTGTGCTTCAGATTATTACATACAATTTTATTTATTGGATTGTGTAAATTATGAATACCTGTATAGGCCTATAAATTACTGTATATCTCAATGCATTCCAAAAATGACCATTTAAAGAAAAAATACATCGATTGTTTGGAAACAAGAATTTTGCAAAACACTGTATGGGAAAATTTAGTCAAGTCATGAATACTATTAATATGCCTATTTCACTGAATTTACTCACATTTAACACTTATATAATGTACATGAATAACCTTTTAAGCAGAAAAGTACAGCAATATAATAGTTTTGAGACTGATAAAAGTTGACGTTCTAGCCAACAAACTTTGTATTATCAGGATAAAACAAACTATAGAGTGGTTATTGCTTCTACAAGATATAATCATATTGTTACCTTGTTATTTGAACGAGGATAGAAGCCTCCCCGACATTTGATGTGCATTGTGACTGAAGAATATTTGTATAAACTTTTTGCGTTCAATGAGATATTCTTGGCAAATATCATCCCCTGTTGAAACAATGAAGGAACATTATTAATAGGATGAATAATGAAGGAAAAACACATGATAGTACTGTACAACAAATTTGCAACTTGCTTACAATGTGATTAAGTAACTTTAACAGATGACTGAATCTTCCCTAACCATGTACGGTATTACATTCTTTCCATGAAATTTACTCTACAGAAGCTCCTGTAAACACTTCATATGCCATTCCTTCATTAGGCCCGTTCCCCACTCATAACTTCTCAATTTTTTAACAATTTTGCCCAGCAGTTCATAGAAGGCCACTATGACTTGAACTTATCTATGATTTGAGACTTGAGACTTATCTATGATATAGTAAAACTCCCTCGACCTGCCAGTTACTGTACCTATACATACAAGATGTAGTGTGCCCTATCTCACAATTAGACACCAAGCAAGGTGACCATCTAACTTGAGGTTGCTCACGACTATACAGAGATGACCCGGGTGTGGCAACTTATTAAATTATCTTGCATGACACTAAGAATGCTTTTAAATGTGACAAATGTATGCAGGTCAGGGGGCTCGGACAAGTTGTCAAATTACAGCACTAGCTGTAAAGCTAGCCGGACCTTCTTGTACTCGCCTAGCTGTGCTTGCTGGGGTCGAGGTTTGGCTCTTTGGCCCTACCTAAGCTCTCGGTCTTGTATACGACTACTCGACACCTGACAACTTACAAGGAAATGTAACAAAAAACTCCTTATAATAATTTTATTCATAAAAAATATACAATATTTTATAAGTGTTTTAATTGCCGGTGGAGAGGCTGCATCCAAAATAAAGCCACTAATACACAAAACATTTTGGGTATACTGTACCTGTAACTTAAAATAATTTGATTCAATTACTTATAGGCTTTACAGATGTAAGCACTTTATACTAAACGAGATGTAAAGTAGGAATAAGGTCGTTTCGGACACAAGGCGATGCGACAAAGCTTGTTTTTCTGTTTAAAACTATATGCATTATCATCCTAAGCTCTAAGTTAGGTTAGGCTGGGCTCTATTAGGTTAGGTTTGGCTGGGTTCTATTAGGTTAGGATAGGCTGGGCTCTATTAGGTTAGGTTTGGCTGGGTTCTATTAGGTTAGGATAGGCTGGGCTCTATTAGGTTAGGTTAGGTAGGTTTGAAAATACGTCGGCGAATCGTCTTGTGTACGATGTAACTTGTACCCGTAAGGTCGCATATATGAGTTGTTCAATTGTTGCCATGCACTGTGACTACACATAAGGAGGCGAGGCCCGGCACTAGATCTCACTCACCGTCAGAACTAATAGGTACACACATCCACAGGCAAGCACATGACCTATAAAGTTACTTGTGGTAAATAACATATAAGTGAGCCAACAAGAGAGAGAGAGAGAGAGGGGCAGGAGACCTCCTACACACACAACTGGGTGCTGGAGTACACCCGGGCCGCTGTCGCAGGTGTGTCCACCCTCCTGCAGGAGCCGTGGACGGTGTCACTTCCCTGGGGCTGGTGTTGGAGTGGCAAGTAGGGCTTAAGACCTAAGGAAACGGGTGAAGGTCGGGCACGTCCAGCTGTGGCCGGCGTCCTCCAAATGCTGGGTTACCATGGCAACCCACCGCCCTCTTCTCATTTGTTATTGTTATTTATTTATTTATATACAAGAAGATAAATTGAATTTATGAGAGCATATAGCATTGATGTTTTACATTATTGTAAAGCCACTAATACGCATAGCGTTTCGGGGAGATATAATTATAACTACGCTGTATAATTATATTGCCCGAAACACTATGCGTACTAGTGGCTTTTGGTATTGTATGTAATACCTCTATCTTTAAATCCAACATTACGTATGTACCTTTACCTGAATAAAAAATCTAAATCTAAATCTACCTACTGCTTATTACTAATTACCTGAATTTACTAACCCCTAGTGTCCTCGACGAGGACATAAAGCCGGCGGCTTGTCGAAGGATCCCCCCCCTATTTACCCTAATGATCTTTTCCAGTTGAATTTTAAAATTTAAGTTTTGGCCTTTAAGGTTTCGGCGGGTAGGCGGTTCCATGGGTTTATAATCCTGTGGGTGAAAAAGCATCTCCTGTTCTTAGTCCTACATTGGGGCTCGTTGAGCCTGAAACCATTGCTCCTTGTTTGTGTTACATCTGACCTTTTGAACACATTGTCTGAATCAACATCCTCCAAATTGTTCAGTATTTTAAGTTTCATTGAGATCCCCTGTCATTTTTTTTATGCCTGGTTTACAGTGTTGTTAACCCTATGGCCTTCAACCATTCCTGAACTTAGAGAGTTGACTTAGCTCTGGAATGGTTTTTATTGCCCAGTGTTGCACTTCTCCAGAGCAGCTATGTCCTTTTGAAGATGAAGTCTCCATGCCTGGATACAGTAATCCAAATGGGAGTGCACCAGAGATTTATATATTTGAATCACTACCTTCTCTTTACTTGAAGTCAAAGGTATTATTTATTTATATACAAGAAGATAAATTGAATTTATGAGAGCATATAGCATTGATGTTTTACATTAGGACATGCTGCTATTAGGACAATATCCAATTCTGGCCCCAGACACCACTCGGTACCCCTACTTAAATCTCTGAATATGTTAGACATTAAGTCACTGCACATTCTCTCATGTGTATTATACATATATAAAACGCTAAACTATAATGCCAATCCTGATCTCAAAAGCTTCATAGAAGGTTGTATCAGAACCCATGAGCATCACACCAGAAATAAATACAGTTTTGATATTCCTAGAGTACGACTTAATCAAACTAGAAATGCTCTACAAATCAAGGGGCCCAGAATGTGGAATGACCTTCCCAACCATGTTAAAGACTGTACCTCTCTCAACCAGTTTAAGTTAAAAGCGAAGCTATACCTAATAAATTCCCTGTAACCTACCTTACCCTTCTATTGTCAACCAATGTCTGTTTTTTTCTTTAAAGAGCGCTGTTTGTCGACATAATTGTATTTGTGCTGCTTTTTCATCTATGTTTTCATTTCTTGTTTTCATTCTACTCATTATGCTCAATTAGTATTAAGCTTGTCATTTAAGTTTATCATGCCCGAAACGCTTTGCGTAATAGTGGCTTTAGGCATTGTATGTACTAGCTATACCTATAAGTTAACAATCCTTGTAAATATTTATTGTATGTATGTACCTTACCTAAATAAAATTGTATTGTATTGTATTGTTGTATGAGATGTAATTACTTTACAACTCATTAAGCCAATTATCTAGCCCATTCCTATCAATGTTCGTAAATCCAGCTGTCAAACCCTATTTATGAATGAAAACAATTTACACATGGCTCACAACTGATTACGTTCAAACATTTCTCGAGCAATGCTTTGCTGATAACCCTCTGTTCGAATCACAACTCTGCAAATGGGCTTTGCCCATGTACTTCAAATACTGTATAAATGATCACCAACAGTACCTCAACACCTAACTCAGCCTCTACCTAATCGCACATTGAACTTTAGTGTATAATATTAATTTATATACAGTACAAGAACAAACCTATTTTTGATACACTGTTAAAATTGATAAATGCGTCTTTGGGGACGGCTGGCCTGAGGACAATTTGTAATTACCACCACCAGGCGGCAAGGCCCTAGCTCCAACCCGTCCTCATAAGTAAAGGCCAAAGTCCATTCCATGCACTCGCCAAACCCCTGTTTATGAATGAAAATCAGTTTACACACGACTTACAACTGATGACATTAAAACAATTCTAGAGCAAATGCTTCGTTGACAGATTTTGTTTGAACCACGACATTGTAAATGCTTCACCCACGTACTACAAATACAAGCAATTGCCAACAGAACCTAAACACTTACCTAACCAAAGCCTAAATATGCACAGTAAGCTAATGTGTAACAATAATTTATATTTGAGAAAATGCCTGTTTTGAATGAACAGCATGTTAAAATTGATGACTGAAAGGGTATGCAAGGACCAAACAATATTCTGTATATAATAACTGCAGCTCTTCAGAGTAAAACCACTTGTGTGGCATTCTTTGTTTTGAAGGTTCTCATTTACCCTATCATTTTCCCTAGCTGTTGCAGTAATCTATATCATATTCCCTAAATGTTAGGTAATCTGACATTATTATTCTAAGAAAACATCTTTGATTTTTGCAATCCTTTTCACAAAGAGTTTTGACATTCTTGTATCCTATACTCCTATCATGGGTTTGTTTTTTACATACTAAAATACATACAGTAATTGGAATTTATCATCAGTGAAGATATTGTTTTCTGTTGCCCCTTGGAAGACCTTGTTGATAATTGACTGTACTACTACTATCTCTTCCACCAAAACAATTCTCATGCTGTTCTTAATTTTGTTATTAACAAAGAATGACACAAAACTGAATTATAGTCCTCTCTATGTAGCACCCTCTCAAATTTTTTTAATGATCTTGGAGTGGCCAGTTCATAGATTTTTTTGCCATTGCTGTAATACTTCCCTTGTGAAGTGAGGGGTGGTGTCTACAATTTAAAGTCTAAAAGATGTTACCCATCTCCACAATATACCAAGTGGTCATACCAATGATATTTTGTACAGTGCCTATTAAATTGTCCAGGTCTGTGGGGTTTGTTGTAATATATGACATATACAATACCTTTCTGTGTGGCCTGAGATCATAAAAAGGTACTCAGGGTCTTTATTTTCATTATGTTCATCACACTGCTTCTTTCAGGATTTTGCTCATCTCCTAATCACCTTCTGTGTATGTACCCCTCTTGTAAGGGGCCTATATATGGAGGTTTTAGAGTTGTGCATAAAAAAGTAAGAACTGTAATTATCAAATGGCACCAAGCCAGGAAGACTATGCAGCACCATATATAAGAAAGATTTTATATCTAGGATGGCTTTCTGCACTGTTTGTTTTTCTTTATTCTGCTAAGTGTTTTAATATATGGTTTATCTCCATGATTACTATGTAAAAGTCTGCTTTCTTTTGTTGGGACATTTATGGTTACTTGAGTACTTTGGAGTATATTTTCTCTACCTAGGTGAGTACAGAAATCTACTACTTCCAATTCTTATTAGTAGACTCAGAGCTTTCCTTTCCATAGCTCATGTTAAGCTTTACTGTACTAACTTTCCATAGAATATGATCTGCAATTGGTTTACAACCAGGTCTCTAATTACTGCTTGGCAAATAAGGGCAAACAGTTGAGGAGTGATGTCAATCAACCCTCCCCAGCCAGGGCTCAAAACCAGACCAAATATTTCACTAGGCATGGCAAGTATGCTGCCACTACACTACAGGGACTGTCATATGATAATTGTCTGCATTACTTTGTCTTTTTAAAATGTAAATATTTTTTATCTTTCCAAAAGGGTCATGTTTTATGCATAATTTTATGGTTTTTGCTTTAATATGTCTGTGCAATGTGTTGTAGTTTGCGAGTTCAGTGCTATTTCTCAGTAGGCTTAATAATTCATAGATTATTTTGTCCCAGTCAATGACCAGATTGTTGAAATTAAATATATAAAATGCCTCAATTGTTGAAATTAAATACATAAAATGCCCTCTCCTGTTGTACATGTATTTTGGAGACATTATACAAAAATATATTGTTTACTGCAATGAGGGATATCTTTAAATGTGGTAAAATTCATCTACAATTTAATATAATCCTGCTGTTAACCTCAGATGATAACTGCCAAAAGAGGTGACCTGACAACAGCATAATAATAATGCTCCTTATCACAACAGATAATCTCTCACTACTTGCATCAAGTTTGGCCTATGTACTGAAATGTCCTTTGCTGGCCAATTCTATCTCATTCACTAAGGGTTCCATTTAATGACATTGTTGTTGTTGCACAATCCATTCTAGCAAAATTAGAAAGTAAATAAATAAATAAATAAATAAATATACAGTACACACACACACACACACACATGTGCATGCATGCACGCACACACACTATAAGAGGGGCTGTGTCTATTTGTTCAAATTTGGAGGCCAAATGCTCAGGGCTAGTCACACCCAAATTGGCAGAAGGAATCGTCAGGGGTACGGGATGGACATAGGCTGGGTGGGGTAGTTTTAAGTTAAAAGATTTAAAAAATTTGAGCCTGTAATCCTACCTTCACATGTAATTTTCATGAAATTATACAGTCTGAAATGAAATTTGGATGTACATCAACAAACTGGACAAGGTACAAAGACATGCAACTAAATGGCTTCCAGAACTGAAAACAAGAGCTATAAGGAGAGGCTACAGGTGTTAAGTATACAAAAGATAGAAGATAAACAGGAGACGTAATTACTACATAAAAAAACAGTAACAGGAATCGACAAAATTTACAAACAAGAATTCTTGAAATCTAGAACTTCAAGAACAAGAGGTCATAGATTTAAGCTTAGGAAACAAAGTTGCCAAAAACATTAGAACGTTCAATTTTGCTGAGTGGTAGATGGTTGGAACAAGTTAAGAGAAGGTGGTGGAGGTAAAAACTGTCAGTAGTTTCAAACAATCATATGACAAAGAGTACTTGGAAGACGGGACAGCACGAGCGAGATATTCTATCTCGGATATCATGACATGATAATGGTCCAGGACGAGCCGAAACGTTATAGTTTCTGGCCTCCAACTTTGGACACACACATTCTCTTTTATAGTACAAAACAGAATATAAATACAGTATACATTATATATTATAATATATATATATATATATATATGTATATGTCGTACCTAGTAGCCAGAACGCACTTCTCGGCCTACTATGCAAGGCCCGATTTGCCTAATAAGCCAATTTTTCCTGAATTAATATATTTTCTCTATTTTTTTTTCTTATGAAATGATAAAGCTACCAATTTAATTATGTATGAGGTCAACTTTTTTTATTGGAGTTAAAATTAACGTAGATATATGACCGAACCTAACCAACCCTACCTAACCTAACCTATCTTTATAGGTTAGGTTAGGTAGCCGAAAAAGTTAGGTTAGGTAGTCGAAAAATAGTTAATTCATGAAAACTTGGCTTATTAGGCAAATCGGGCCTTGCATAGTAGGCAGAGAAGTGCGTTCTGGCTACTAGGTACGACATATATATATATATATATATATATATATTAAATATGACCGAAAAAGTAAGATTAATAATTCTAACACGAATTTTCTCAATCTTTCGTACATTACGCTTCACTGTTGGAGGTAAATCAAAAATCACTTCTCCAAAATTCATTTTTATTTCTAGTCTGACGCGACACGGGCGCGTTTCGTAAAACTTATTATATACGAAACGCGCCCGTGTCGCGTCAGACTAGAAATAAAAATGAATTTTGGAGAAGTGATTTTTGATTTACCTCCAACAGTGAAGCGTAATGTACGAAAGATTGAGAAAATTCGTGTTAGAATTATTAATCTTACTTTTTCGGTCATATTTAATAATATATGTCTACAGGAAAGACTGCTACCAAAATATACTAATATATATATATATATATATATATATATATATATATTATATATTATATATATGAGATACTGTATGTCTATATGGATATTACTAATATTAAACTTTTAACTTAATGCATGTAAGTGAACACATGGAAGATCACGAATATGCATATGAATAAACATGTACATGATAATGAATACAGTATATAAAATGTGTACATACAGTTTATATAAATATACAAATTCTGTACATGAATAAACAAAATGTATATATTACACAAATTGTCTAAATTAAAAAAAAAATATATATATATATATATACATAAATGTATACCATGTATACATTAACATTATATATCCTAACCTTTTACAAAATTCTCTCGGCTTCTGGGCCGATATCTGCTACACCTGGCATGTTGCACGTCTTCAACATGCGTCCAAATGCCCACCGGGAATCACCCACACAAACTAACGGGTTTGCCAGTGTTACATAAAACTGTATCATGTTTCATACAACTTTTAATGCCAGTGAATTCACCTGAATTTTTTGGAGCCCTTGTTTAAAGGAAAATAATAATTCAATACCATACACAGTAATTATCTTACATGGTAAGAAGTACTTAGATTACATTTAAATGTTCAGTACATACACAAAATCTTCATAAAAAATATATACAGTACTGCATAGTTATTAAATAAGAATTATGCACTAAAATTCTACCTGGAATTTCAATTGTGATAATGTATACTACATTTACATGTACAGAGACAAATAAATTCACTACTTATATAAATCCAGCATTGAATGTAATGAGATTCATTCCTGACGGGTCCCTTCCTGGTGGCTTCCCAAGATTCTCTCATGTTACTTCCAAGCCTAAACCCTACAACCAGGCCTTTGAGTCCAAGTACCTACTGGGAACTAGGTCCAAAACATGGCCTTCCCCCTTGATAAAGGCACAACAGTCTGGAGATACAAGCAAAAAAATAAGAATCACTAGAAAGATAGATTACCCTAAAACAAGCAATTGCATAGAAAACATTGGCATCCCTGATGAACCATGTACACACTCCTTGGCCATTTCAAGTGGTAGTTACTCTTGCCTAGATGGCAGCCCCAGCAACTCAGACCCGCACACTGATGGCCCCCATCAGTATGCACACGGTGTGGTCGAGACCACAGCTCCCAGTGCCTTGTCTTCTTTTTCTAGTTTTGTTTTCAGCTCAGTGTTGGCTTTTCTTTTGAACTTTGCCCTGCAGATAAAATTACCTAATATTCACATAGACCCCCTGCAGGACAAAGTCGAAATGAACAGTCAATACTTAGCTGAAAACAAGGCCAGGAAGAGCACCCCCCCCTCCCCAACAACACCAGGCACATGACTGATGGGGCAACTGGAGTTGCCCCATCAGTCATCAGCCCAAGTTGCTGGGGCTGCCATCTGGGCAAGTGTAACTACCAGTTGGGGCCCCAGACTGCCCCATCTCTAGGGAGTGTGCTAGATTCTTGAGCTAGTCTCAGGTAGGCACTTGTGACTAAAAGGACTGATTGGGGGCTTTAGGATTGGAGGTAACCCATGTAGGTAGTCCAGGAAGCCACCGGGTAGGAACTATGAGAAAAGCATTCATAAACAGTATAGTCAGTATACGAAGACTAAACCACACACCAGAAAATGAGGAGACGACAAGGTTTAGGTCCGTTCTGGACCATTATTAACTCTTTGGCGTTCTGGGCCTCCGAGCACCTCACTACCCCAGGTGGGTTTGGGCGTTCTGTGGGAGCGCAAGGGAGACCGTGGTAAATTCTGAAAAGTGTATAATCTTTTCAACTTTGTCAGCTCAATTCTCGTCCTAAGGTATTGAATTTGGTATCAATGTGTTCGCAATAGAATTCTCTACAGGACTAAATGAATATACGGGTAAATCCCAAAAGCCCGGCGAGAAAGTGAGAGCGTCTTACCCGGGAGCGGGCAAGAGCTCTCTCTTCACTTTGGACATCTCAATTCTCGTCCTAGGTGTTTCATTTTGGTATCATTGTGTTCGCAATAAAATTTCCTACAAGCGTATATGCAAATATAAAGTCCAAAAGCCCGGCGTACCACCCACAGCAAACAGAGAAAGTGACGGAGCGTTACCCCCGTGAGCGCTAATAAAGAACAATAAAATGGGTATTCTGTTTTCAACTTTGTTACCTCAATTCTGTTCCTAGGACTTTCCTTTTGGTATCAATGTATTCACAATGAAATTCCCTACAAGAGTATATGCATATAATGTCCAAAACCCCAGCAAGACCTTCCCGAAAATGCCGCTACTGTTGCCGCACAGAGGACTCAATGCCGAGTCGTCGCCGGACTTGCCCGTTTTACGGACGACTCAGCATTGAGTCGTCGCCGAGCGAAAGTGTTAAGTCGATTGGCAACTTGATAATGGCCCAGGACGGACCGAAACGTCGCTGTCTCCTCATTTTCTGATGTGTGTGGAGGGTTTAGTCTTCGTATCTTAAGCCACGTTATTGTGACTCATCATCTGCATAGTCAGTATAGTATCTCAATACTAAATGCCCTGATTAGTATGTCAAGATATGCAAACAGCATATTGCTATATCTGACAATCTTACTAAGTATGATTGCAAGATTGGGATTGCTTAATGCAAAGACAATCTTGCATTAAGTTACTATGACAATTTTAGTATGGCACTCATTTATCTTCTAATTAGAACCCAGGTCTAGTATATAAAACACTTATTCATTCATTTACCACCATACTTATTTAGAAAGGGAAATGGTTTGTCGAATATTTTCCTGACATTTCTAATATGATTGCTGTATTGCACATACAAAAAAAAATATACATTGTAAATTCATCTGAAAAGAACAAAATGTTGAAATTTTGAACTCAAGAGTTACAAATAAAGTATAATATCTACCCACCCCATTTTTCTTCAAGCTTCTCCATGAGAAAATTGTGTTTCATTTAAGACCAAATAATACCTCAGAATAATTGCCATCGAGCTTTACAACAAAACAATTTACATCAGACAATGGGATTAAGGTTAGTCTTTTTTCTATTAACATTCACAACTAAATTTTTTTCATTCAAATGTAAGTATGGTGTAATCCTGATTTTATTTTGGGATATGTTCCAGGAGACTTCGTGTAAAACTGAACTTTATAATACAGAATATTTCTTTTAGATCCTTGTTGGATAAACAAGATACAGTGAATCAATAAATAATACAAATATATAATGTAGTGAAAAATAACAAGCTTGACACAGTATAGTGATTTAAAGCAGTATGTGATTCATTTCTGCTTCTTGATGGACTTAAAATATACTGTTTTACAATATGATTGGTTGCCAGCATTTCTTAAAGAAAATTCTGTACAGTATATGTAATGTGGAAGATATGTGGAGGGAAGGGATAGGAGAGAGGATGGGAATGGATAGGAAGGGTTTGTATTGTATGTGAGTACATGTTTGGGATGGTGTAAAATACTGCTGTGTTGAATCAGGATTCTACTGTACTGTACATATATTCTATTGTACTGTACATATATTTTCCCCAAAGTTGCACAATAATAAAGTTTTACAGTTACTAGTAAGTTGAAGAGCTAGATATGCTAAATTATTATCTCCATGATATCACTTATTTAGGTAAGAGGGATTGATATTATAGCAATAGAAGTTATCACCAGTGACCTAAGTTAAGAGGTGCATAATGAGCTACTGTGCCCTGAGTTTGAAATGTTCCGAACATATAACCCATTGTTTCTCCTGCACTAGGTGGTTCTCTGCTATCAGTATGTGGGATTATAAACTCAGGTAAACTTTCCTCCATATTATTATGTGCTGGCTGTGGAGGTCCTTGAGGTATGTGCATAACCGCAGTCTGAATAGATTCACGAATCAATTTTTTTTTACGTATAATAGAATCGGGATCTGTGTTTCTAGCATTATCGACTCCACTCCCTTCCCCAGTAATTAGTGAAGTTATGGGATTATTTGCCCTGACATAGCTTTCCAGATTTTCCATCTGTCCATGCTGTTTGATATGTGATAACACGAGAGGTTTACGCATAAATCCTGCACCACAGAGAATGCATTCATAAGGTTTTTTATCTGAGTGAGTGAACATGTGGGCCCTACAGTTATTTGATGAATTAAATGCTTTCCCACAAACATCACATTTAAAAGGCTTCTCTCCTGTATGAATTCTCATATGTTTTTTATAATGTTGTTGATAAACAAAACCAGAATCACAAAATTCACATTTATAAGGTCTTTCACCAGTATGAATACTCATTGTATGACCATTCAACAATCTCTTCCACTTAAATGCTTTGTCACACAAATCACATTTGTATCTTCTTTCTTGCAAGTGTGTTACCCTCTTGTGAGAAGATAAATTACTTTTCTGGCGGAAGCAAGACCCACAAATATCACACTCAAATGGCTTCTCCCCTGTATGAGTTCTTTCATGGTCCTCCGCTTTACTTTTTGTTGTAAAAACTTTGCTGCATTGTCGACACTTAAACTGCTTAATACGGGTTATGTCAAAGGCTTGACACCCTGTTTTTCGTTTACCTATTTTCTTCTTTCCTTTGTGCAACTTTTTGTGTTTAATCAAGCTTTCAGCAGTCAAGAAACATTTTTCACATATATCACATTTAAGTGAGTCACTGTTTAATCCATGCGTTTCAATATGCATTGCCAGAAGAGTCCTAGATAAGAATTCTTTTCCACAAAGATTACAGTTTTGTGGTATGTTGTCATCTGTCTGGTTTACATCCTCGTGATCTAACTGCACACTCTCCTCCTCAGTAGACGAGACTGTCTCCTCTTTGAATTCAACTTCTGGCACTAAATTCTCATTATAACCTTTTACCACCAGCTTACCAGACTTAATAGCTATTTTACCACCTTTTCGCGGTCTCCCTACTTTAGATGGACGACTTTTTCTGCCAGTAACTTTTAGCTTGGGGCTTTTGCCTGTAAAACAATAATATGTCATAAAAATGGACTTCCTTAGATGTTCATTCTACCTTCTTTGATTATTAACTAATGTCATGCTAGTAAATTTTTATTAGCTGAAGGAATATAACATTAGTAGCTTTGATGGGCCAACATTTAGAGTAATGCATGCAACTGACGATCATTTGTATGCGGAAAATCCACAGAGAAATGGAAAAGAAAGATGAACGTTATGGCCGATCAACACCAGAGTCTGGTGTTGACAACGGCCTTGATTGGCCGAAACGTTCATCTTTCTTTTCCATTTCTCTTTGGATTTTCTGCACAATTATGCATATAAAGATTTGTGATTTATCTTACTAAAAGAGTAATGTAGTGAAATATCTTCATAATAAACCTAAAGTACATTTAGACCAGCACCAGTCTATCATCATACATCTTTCTTCAAGTCTATATTAACCCTTCCACTGCATAACATGGCTGGGGTTGATCTTGCTAATTATTAATAAATTGTGTGAGAGCCTCAGTGATACGACAGCGACCAGGAGTAGCACATGCATCAGCAGCAGCTTACAGCACTGCCATGCAGCATGTGCCCACACCACCACTTAATAATAATGAAATAAATACGTACAGTGTAACTGTGATTATTTAATGATAGTGTCATAGATGAGCCTGACTGTGATACAAACTATGTACAAGCGATGAGTCACAATACGAAACATCGTCGTCCCTTCATTTTCTAGTGTGTGGATTGGTCAACAAACTATGTGGTTTGGTGCATCTATGCATCTGTACCTAGATTGTACCTGGATGGGGTTCTGAGAGCCAAACTCGATAGAGAAAGGATCCATCAAAGAGGCAATGAGGCAGGGGAAGGGATATGAAAATCCCTCCTCCTGCATAAATGGGTCTCACAGGAGGAACGTGAATAGCCCCTTCTGAACCACCGAAGGAGGGACCCGAGAGTGAAACCTCCAGAATGATGGGCCCATAGGGACACGGAACCAAATCTTGGGGTAAGATTCACCCAAACCATACTCATACAGGGATATGAAAATCCCTTTCCCCCTGCAAAAGGATAACTACTTCAGAGGCAGTGGTGCAGTGTTATCGGAGCCCGCCGGAACACCGCTTTGGCACCACTGCAAGTGAATGATGGAATGGGGAAAAGGGAGAGAGGATGGGGAAAGGGAGAGAGGATGAGGGAAAAGGAAGATGATGGCTTGTGGGTGATGGTTGATGGGGGTAGTAACGTCATCGTCTTCTCATCTTCTGGTGTGTGGTTTTGTTTTCACAGCCAGGTTGATCAGGTATGATCAACAGGCCACCAGCCAAAATGTGCAGCTGAACAGACCAAGAATGATCAAAATCACAGAACCAGAGATAGGGAACTAGTGCCTTTCTCATGTAACTCATTCACACAGGAGTTGGAAGGGCAATAAATTCTGATCAGAGGGGTATCAGACAACATCTGCTCAATAAGCGTGCAGTTACAGAGATGATGAGGAAAGCCTGGATGTGGAGCTAGCTACCTCTCAAGACGGAATCGGACCATACAGGGTTGTATTCAAAGAGGCAAGAATTTCTGCCCACAACACATTGAAAAAAGCATAGATCCCCTTCTAATCTACACAATATAACAGCATCCATTCCCCTCAGAAAACAAGAAATTGCATGTTAGCCATGAAGAAATAGGTGTTCATTACTGCAGCTTCAAGGGGAAAGCAAGATCTAAACTTGAAATAAGTAATTTTCAGTTCGAAAGCATAGACGTCAATATATAACAGAAGGAACATGAACTGTACCCTGGGCATAAAAGGAAATCACATTATACTTGAATTGAAACCGGATCCAATATCCCTGAAACCTCGAGAAAGAATTTCAAAACTAGATCCCAAAATGACCAAAAGAAAACCAGGATGGGTGTGCCGCAGGGTAGGTGTGCCACACGGTAGGTATGCCACAAGGTAGGTGTGCTACAGGGTAGGTGTGCCAAAGGGTACGTGTGCCCCAGGGTAAGTGTGCCACAGAAGCCCCTAGATTGAATCTTATTTCCCCACCAAGGTGTACTGAAGAAAATGTAAAGAAAAGAGAAGAGAAAGACCAAGATGACAAGAGGAACTGGGACAAAGCATTAACTAGCAATATGATGTAAACCTATAAAAGTAAATAATAAAGAAATGAAGACTCTTTAAAGAGTAAAATAGACATAATGTGAGACTTTACTTAGGTGATACACCAATTCAAATTAATTCCCCAAGTTGTACCTTACTTGCCACTTAGTTAAACTAATACCACAGACAATCACCTGGCGAGGGAGGTTTTATATTCTTCTTTAGCTTGGGGGGTGGAGGAAGCTGTTTAGAATGCTCCTCTAATACTGCTTTTCCGACAAGTCCCTTTTTTACCAATGCCACAGTCATTGCATATTTGCTGGACACTACCTGAAGCAAAATAAAGTTTGGTAAAACACAACTGTTTCTTATTAAACAATAACATTAGCATAATTTAAGACACATCATCTGAGTGAAAAGATTAAAAAAAAACAGTGTTAAATGTATGAAACACCTCTTACTGGGTGAGGCCTGGTGGCTTACTCAGATGGCTTCTATTAGGTCTCATCAGCTGTGGAGTTGTGTTTGGTTTGCTGGAGATCAGCGCTTGAACCTGACCTCCTTCACAGATGCAACAGAGAGCAGATGCCACTCCGCCATCCTACCAGGAAAACAACCATATGTCACCAAACCAATGCAGACCACTGCCTAGTTCAAGGAGACTGGAGACTCAAAACGGCCAAATGAAACTCCACCAACAATATAAATAAACAAATGAATCTTCCAAACATGAGTGAGCTTGTTAATACTACCCCCCCACTAGTTTAGGGGGGGGATCAAAGCCTCTGGTACCCAGTGGGCTATGAAGCAAATTCTAGAGATACTCAAACGAAACCCCCCAACCGACGACCTGGAAGATAGGGGAGGGAATAGAGGAGCATTTGCCCATTTTTGTTGGGCATTTCCCACTCCTTTTTTTTTTTTTTTGGTGGTGGTGGTGGTGGTGGTGGGGGGGGGGGGAAGGGGGGTTGTTTCTTTTCTGTTGGACACTCTGTGTGCCAAGTACATGTACTTGGAATTTATCAGTTAAATTCACGTTATTTTTTGCTGCCCAATCAAAAACTTGATATTTTTAAAGAACAACCATATAACACAAAATATAAGTCAAGAATGTTGACCAAATTACTCACTTGAAAGTAAAGGAACGATGATGTTTCGGTCCGTCCTGGACCATTCTCAAGTCAATTGGTCCAGGACGGACCGAAATGTCATTGTCCTTCACTTTCTAGTGTGTGGTTTGGTCAACATATTTCAGCCATGTTATTATGACTCCTCGTCTGCATATAAGTCAAGAATGTGTGGGTACACAAAGCCAAGGCAGCAAAACTTTAAGGAAACATATAAGTCCAAGGTAAAATATGCAGTCCACGAGGCATACTTGCAACCTGTGTGGGCACTAGAAGAGAATGAGTAAATTTGGAATCACAAAATAACACCATGAAAGATAACCCTGAAATAATATCAGAATGATCTAATTGGTGAGGAAAAATACAATGCGAGTAGCATAAACACAATCGTGAAGCGTAATTAGGAACCACGCACTCGACACAAGTCCCCTTAAGCTGCGGAACAGTGATGTCCCAAGGAACATCACACACCTCACATGTCAAAGTGCATCTATTAATTTGTAGGACAAGTAATTTTACAGGTATACATCTGTCCATAACTAAGTTAGCAGGTACTCAGAATTTGTAGGCACAATTTGACCTGAAAACACACATGGTGAAAATGGATGAGTTTAACCTTTCAACATTTACAAAATATGCAGCCTTTGAATATTAATTTATATATTTGAGATATTAACATGTTGGTTTTATAAGTGCATAAGTGCTTAATAGCCAAATTTACCATGACACCCTGTCCCTCACAGATAAAAAAAAATGAATGAAGCAGGTATTCTCTTGATTTTCAATATAATTTGTTATTATTTACCTGCTTCATGCTGACCAGCTGACCTTCTAAGCCATCAATATCATCAAGCAGCTTGAAACATTTCTTACATACGATGCTCGAGTGAACATTGGCGGTATTCAACTCCTGGTTTACGATGGAGCCCAAGACACTGTAGATCTGCATCTTTCCAACCGATGTTGTGATCTGGTGAGAAGGACCAGCTAAATGAGCTTGGAGGGGTCGTGCCATCAAGCACACTAAAACTGAAAAACTACTACTTCAATAAACAGGTATTCTACTTTGGCAGCTGGTTGCAATAAGATTTAAAAGAATGGAACAATGCAGAAAAATCAAAACAAATAATTTACACCATATACTGGCTGCAGTTTTTGTCTTGCTGTAATAATAATTAATTCAATTTTGTGGTCATGTTTCTTCACTGCTGACTATGACAGGCCTGACAGCATAACAGTATGGGCACTGGGGATGTATAAATTATTGTAAGGTTATAAGTAAACAAAATAACTCTGGGCACACTATAGAAAGAACACATCAACTATGGACCAAGAGAATCCTGGAACAGATTTCATGAAACAAACACAAAAGTTAAAAGGCCAATTACAAGGATCGATGAAATCCTAAGTGTGCAAGCATTGAATAAGTAGTGCCGTCAAAATCTTTATCCAACAGCAAAATTTATAGAAGCTGTGAAATTAATGTATATATACAAATGCTCATGCAGATATACTTATATAAATATACTGTTCATACCCTGCATATTTGAAAGTATATGTTTTAATGTACAATTCTCATAATTCTTGATGTCGAGAACAGAAAACCTGCACTAGGCGTAGCAAGGTCCCATTAGGCCAACTACTGACCTTCCCCAGATGCAACACACAACAATTACCTATCTCCCGGATACCTATTTAACTGCTAGGTGAACAGGTTCGTTAGGTGAAAAGAAATGAGACCAAAAAATTATTTTCTGCCTAGGGATTGAACCAGGGTCTCTTGACTGTGAGTCAAGGATGTAGACTACTGTGCTATCTTTCATATTATACCTTTTCAGAGAAAACTTCCATGCCGCCTTTGGCAAACATGCCAAGATGAACGTTGCACACGAGACAGTGTGGGGTTGCTGATCCTCCAATTCTGGTGATTTTTGGAGATGTTCGTTGAATCAGAGGTGGTGGTGGTGGTGGCGGGTGAAGCTGCTGAGGCATTGGTTGTGGTTGTGGTGGTGGTGGTTGTGGGTGTTGTTGAGGTGGTGGTGGTGGTGGTTGTAGAGGTGGTTGTGGGTGCTGCTGCTGTTGCTGTTGTTGCTGCTGCTGCTGATGTGCTTGTAATTGATGTTGCTGTTGTTGTTGCTGTATTTGATGCATCTGCTGCAGTCCAAAAGGCTGCCATTTTTGCAAAACTTGTTGCCGATTGTTCCAGTCCATCTGTGTAAAATACAGTATTAGATACATTTTTCCTGCACTTTTCGTAACATAAACAATGGCAAATAATATTTAACAGACTCTGCTGTTAACCTGATTCAGTACCAAATATATCAACAATATATTCTCTACATTGTGCATTCACATAAGTAATATTATACAGTACTGTACTCTAAACAAATTAATTGCAAATACTGTACTTCCTTATAAAATTTGTGTATTATAACAATAAAGGCAACAAACATAATTATATTGATGACCAAACCACACACTAGAAAGTGAAGAGACAACGACGTTTCGATCCGTCCTGGACCATTCTCAAGTCGATTGTGACCATTCCACAATATTGGTTTGTGACCATTCCACAATACTGGTTTGTGACCATTCCACAATCGACTTGAGAATGGTCCAGGATGGACCGAAATGTCGTCGTCTCTTCACTTTCTAGTGTGTGGTTTGGTCAACATACTTCAGCCACGTTATTGTGACTCCTCGTTTGAACATAATTATATATCTCTTTTGTAAGCCTGTTAAGAGAAACTTTACTATCAGTCTCCGTGGTGAAGTGGTAAGACACTCGCCTGGCGCTCTGCGAGCGCTTTGTCCTGGGCTCATATCCTGGCCTGGGAGGATTTACTGGACATCAATCCTTAACTGTAGCCTCTGTTTATCCAACAGTAAAATGGGTACTTGCTTGTAAAACAATTTGAGGGAGTCATATTCAAGGGAAATAGGATTAAGGACTTGCCCGAAACGCAAGTCAAATAAAAAAAATAAAAAAATAAATTATGTAGAAGTTCAACATATTTTAAGAACATAATTGAATATACAAAGTACCTATTATTATTATTATTATTATTATTATTATTATTACGTAGATGGCAATAATGCGAAGAATGAAAATAAAGACAAAAGTTGAAATAAGTTATAGTCATGATTATTAATGCTGGTCATAACAATACATTCTGTAGTTATGGCATAATACTGGTAAGATCTCACAAGTAAACCCTCTCATTGTAAATGACATTTCAATATATAAACTTTCCAAATAATGAAAATACACTCAGGGGGAAGGGAACTATCAGAAGAAAGTGCCAAGCCATTACGACTACTGTATTATGACACTGGAAATGGGTCAGGATAAGGATTTGGGATGGGACGGGGGAGAGGAATGGTGCCCAACCTCTTGGACAGTCGGGAATTGAATGCCAACCTGTATGAAGCGAGACCGTCGCTCTACCGTCCAGTCCAAGTGGATGGGAGAAAAAAACTGGGACCGAAGGAATGACTTATAAGGTATTGCTAGGCTTATGAAGACATGGTTTTTTAAGTGTATTATTGAAAAAAAAGTTTTTTCCACAACTTGTATTGAGGGAAATTTTTACTTTTGGCGATAACAGTGATTGCTAATAAATATAAAATTAATACCAGCGTATGGTGATAATATATTACTGTACTGATGGTGAAAATGACAGCACTCTTGCTTACCTAAAGGAGACCGGGGGAAGTGAGCTCTAGCTCTTGATACCCCACTTTCTACCCTTGTTGAACCTTGTGCATTATATTTTGACCTTTCCTGGTATTCCAATTCTATGGGGTGATGAAGAAATGTATACGGTTATCTCTCAGAATACTCGGTAATATGTTTATTGTTTGTGATATGTCTATGTATGGTATAAAGGTGACGTGGTGTACTGAATGGGGTGAGAATAGCTTGAGCTGCCGCTCATGGTGGTAATGAGGGTTGGTGATGTGTGTATTTTACCTCAATAAACTTATTTCGATTTCAATTAAAATTTCAATGATGTTTTAATAACAATGGTAAATGAAGCCAATAAGGATGATGATCGTGGCTTTGATGATGGTAAAGAAGGTAATGATGGTCGTGGCTTTAGTGATTGCTTGTCATTAAAATTTGATAATCTGTTTAATCGTTGAACTATTATTACAAGTCAAAGAATAAATGTATTTTGATTTGTTTTTCCAACCCTTCCAAAACATATTAGGCTAGTGATGGTGCAGCTGCAGTGGTGGTGGTAATGAGGGTGATGGTGGCAGCTGTGGTGGTGGTAATGATGAGGGTGATGGTGGCAGCTGTGGTGGTGGTGGTGATGAGGGTGATGGTGGCAGCTGTGGTGGTGGTGGTGGTGATGATGGTGATGGTGGCAGCTGTGGTGGTGGTGGTGATGATGGTGATGGTGGCAGCTGTGGTGGTGGTGGTAATGAGGGTGATGGTGGCAACTGTGGTGGTGGTGGTGATGAGGGTGATGGTGGCAGCTGTGGTGGTGGTGGTGATGAGGGTGATGGTGGCAGCTGTGGTGGTGGTGATGAGGGTGATGGTGGCAGCTGTGGTGGTGGTGGTGATGAGGGTGATGGTGGCAGCTGTGGTGGTGGTGATGATGAGGGTGATGGTGGCAGCTGTGGTGGTGGTGGTGATGAGGGTGATGGTGGCAGCTGTGGTGGTGGTGATGAGGGTGATGGTGGCAGCTGTGGTGGTGGTGATGATGAGGGTGATGGTGGCAGCTGTGGTGGTGATGGTGGCAGCTGTGGTGGTGGTGGTGATGATGGTGATGGTGGCAGCTGTGGTGGTGACGAGGGTGATGGTGGCAGCTGTGGTGGTGGTGATGAGGGTGATGGTGGAGGCTGTGGTGGTGGTGATGATGAGGGTGATGGTGGCAGCTGTGGTGGTGGTGATGATGAGGGTGATGGTGGCAGCTGTGGTGGTGGTGGTGGTGGTGGTGATGATGAGGGTGATGGTGGCAGCTGTGGTGGTGGTGGTGGTGGTGGTGATGATGAGGGTGATGGTGGCAGCTGTGGTGGTGGTGGTGGTGGTGGTGATGATGAGGGTGATGGTGGCAGCTGTGGTGGTGGTGGTGGTGGTGGTGATGATGAGGGTGATGGTGGCAGCTGTGGTGGTGGTGGTGGTGGTGGTGATGATGAGGGTGATGGTGGCAGCTGTGGTGGTGGTGGTGGTGGTGGTGATGATGAGGGTGATGGTGGCAGCTGTGGTGGTGGTGGTGGTGGTGGTGATGATGAGGGTGATGGTGGCAGCTGTGGTGGTGGTGGTGGTGGTGGTGATGATGAGGGTGATGGTGGCAGCTGTGGTGGTGGTGGTGGTGGTGATGATGATGATGGTGGTGATGAGGGTGATGGTGGCAGCTGTGGTGGTGGTGGTGATGAGGGTGATGGTGGCAACTGTGGTGGTGGTGATGATGAGGGTGATGGTGGTGATGATGGTGATGAGGGTGGTGGTGATGAGGGTGATGGTAGTGATGGTGATGGTAGAGATGGTAGTGATGGTGATGAGGGTGATGGTGGTGATGATGGTGATGGTGATGAGGGTGATGGTGATGAGGGTGATGGTGATGAGGGTGATGGTGGTGATGAGGGGTGATGGTGGTGATGAGGGGTGATGGTGGTGATGAGGGGTGATGGTGGCCGCTATGGTGGTGGTAATGAGGGTGGTGGTGATGAGTGATGGTGATGAGGATGATGGTGGTGATGGTGATGAGGGTGATGGTGGTGATGAGGGTGATGGTGGTGATGTGGGTGATGGTGGTGATGAGGGTGATGGTGGCAGCTATGGTGGTGGTAATGAGGGTGGTGGTAATGAGGGTGATGGTGATGAGGGTGATGGTGATGAGGGTGATGGTGGTGATGAGGGTGATGGTGATGAGGGTGATGGTGGTGATGAGGGTGATGGTGATGAGGGTGATGGTGATGAGGGTGTTGGTGGTGATGAGGGTGGTGGTGATGAGGGTGATGGTGATGAGGGTGATGGTGATGAGGGTGATGGTGATGAGGGTGATGGTGGTGATGAGGGTGATGGTGGTGATGAGGGTGATGGTGATGAGGGTGATGGTGATGAGGGTGATGGTGGTGATGAGGGTGATGGTGGTGATGAGGGTGATGGTGGTGATGAGGGTGATGGTGGTGATGAGGGTGATGGTGGTGATGAGGGTGATGGTGGTGATGAGGGTGATGGTGGTGATGAGGGTGATGGTGGTGATGAGGGTGATGGTGGTGATGAGGGTGATGGTGGTGATGAGGGTGATGGTGGTGATGAGGGTGATGGTGGTGATGAGGGTGATGGTGGTGATGAGGGTGATGGTGGTGATGAGGGTGATGATGGTGATGGTGGTGATGGTGGTGATGAGGGTGATGGTGATGAGGGTGATGGTGACAGCTAATATATACATACATAAACATATAAAGAAAAATATAAATAAATTACCAAACATAGTTTAATGAAGTTTAATAAAAAATAAATATGTGAATTACAAATACATACAAGCCATATACTGTATGAATGTTACATACAAGTGTATGTAACATTCATTACATACATTTAATATCATGTATATTACATGATATTACAATAATATCATCTGATAAATGTAAATAAACTAAAACGGGAAAATAAATTCAGAGTTGAGCATTGACAAAACCTGAGATCAAAATAGAATTGTCATTACTCGTATTTAAAACACTTGGAGGCAACAGAAGAGGTGCAGAAGGGAGGAAGACACCTCGAGACGTTGTCTGGAGGCGAGACAGGCTCTATCAAGACGTAGAGGCGGCAATAGAGGCCATTATAGAGCAGCGTTGGAGGCGGCAGTGCTACCAAGGCTCCGCTACCCCTGCCTCAGCGCGCCATCACAACACCGCTATATTTAAACCTCCTGTTTCTCACTCGTGGTCCATCGCTAGGCGGTATGGTTAAGCAGGCGAGGTGGTGGGGGTTATGGCGTGTGGTACCTGGAGTGTGCAGGGGTGAGAGGTCAGGGGCGGTGTTAGGCTGAGGTCATCCCTTAATGGGCCGCAGCGACGCCAATAACGGCGGCAGTGGGCGCTTGTTTTGTTCCAACAATGCTGCCGTCACGATGCCCGATGCCTTACACAACATACTCCTCTAAAATATTTACTATCTACTGTTTTATTTATCTCGTTAATTATTAAAGAATATAAAAAATACAACATTCTATGAGCAGAAAGTAGAAACTAATTAGTACTAAATAATGACGAGTAATAACATTGTTATCTTCGTATATTAATGAGGGGTCTCCGTAGTACAGTCGGGTTCGTTTTAGACTCACAATCGAGAATTCCGGTTCGGCCGGAATTCTCTATTGTGAATCGGGAACGAAAAATGGTGTCCAGGGCGGGACAGAAATGGTTGGGCGCATTTCCTATTACCTAATAATAGGTACGGGACGGAAATAGGCTGGTCAGGGTAGGCCTAAGTTGTTTTTTGTATTTTTTTTTATATATACAAGAGTTCTTACATTCTTGTACAGCCACTAGCACGCATAGTGTTTCGGGCAAGTCCTTAATCCTATGTTCCCTGGAATACGACCCGCCAAATCGTCTAACAACCAGGTACCCATTTTACTGTTGGGTAAACAGAGGCTACAGTTAAGGATTTGCGCCCAGTAAATCTTCCCTGGCCAGGATACGAACCCAGGACAAAGCGTTCGCAAAACGCCAGACAAGCGTCTTACCACTACGCCACTGGGGACTGCATAATTAAAGTTAAATGCTTTAATAAATATTAGCAATTATAAATAACCTCCCAGGTGGGAAACATTTGGTCTTTAGCATGTCTCTGGACCACAAATCTTGTTAGCTCCTGTATAGTTGATTCCTATATATTCCTATATAATTAATTCCTATATAGTTGCCTTCTATTTATGATATCGACACCTTCCAGATTTGTCTCCCTTCCATGTCTTCATTACCTTACAATTTTTGGGATTGAAATTTTCCAACCATTTGTTTGCCCACTCCTGGAGTTTGTCAAGGTCTTGCTGTAACGTTCTGCAGGCCTCCTCTGTTTTTGTATATGGTAGGATGTGTAAACTGGCTGTTGATATAGTTAGATGACAGTGTTTGATATGTAGTGCTTCGCTTATGTCTAATCTTTCATTGTCGTTGTATCTGTCGATGATTTCAGTGTTGTTGGTCAGGATTTTTCTGGCGATGTTTGGTTGTGTGAAGAAATGATATGTTCTTCCATAGGCTCGTACAGACTCGAACGAGGAGCAACGGGTTTAAGCTCAACAAGCCACAAGGTTGGACAGAAAACAAGAGATCCGTTTTCCCCCCATAGGATTATAAACCCGTGGAACCGCCTACCCGCCGAAGCCGTAAACGCCAAAACTCTGCTGGGTTTTAAAATACAGCTGGAAAAGATTATCAGGGCAAATAAGGGGACCTTTGACAAGCTGCCGGCTTCCTATACTCATCGAGGTAGTGGCCCTCAGGAAAATTCAGGTAAATTCAGACACATGACCTCCTGTCCTTGAGAGATTGGTGAGTGACGGGTGAAACACACGATAAGACAAGGTGATAGTGTATCGCCATGAGCCACGCCGCCCTCACTCTCTTGTTTACATTCCGTCCGTGTTGGCGCTCTTCGGCTCCTGTCTACAGGTATTCCTTTTCTCCCAGGATGCTGGGATTTGACCAGGGGGTTCGACACCTTTTTAAACGGGGTGAGCTGACAGGTGCAATAGTCTCATTTAGACGGGGCGTCCCTATGTGCTGACAGGTGCTATAATCTCATCTAGACGGGGCGTGTTTGTGCGCTGAATGGTGTTCCACCGTCCACGCTGGTGTCCGAGGAGCTTCCTCCCGTCTGGACGGGGTGAGTGTGTGGTCTGACAGAGGCCAGGCTCAAGACTTGTGTAAGTGCAGGTACACACACTTCCCCAACTACTTTGGGTGTGAAACTCTGGACGTATTTCACACCCTAATCTTTGCGTTGTGTTGGAGGTCCACCTTCCCCTTGTTGTGTATTTAACACTATCGCCATGAAACCTTACAAGAAGAGCACAACAATACACATTATGACTATCCTATCAAACACATGGCCATGCGGCATGTTGATAAAATAACCCAGGAATCTTGATCCAATCACTGAAAGCTGCTCAACAGGTAGGAACTGCAATAAAAAAGAGTAAATCAAACCCTAGGGATAGTACAGAATACATTGACTTTCAGGACAATAAAGTGGTCATACTTGTTACAGGAGTACTTGTTACAGTGCTCCACTGCGCTGTTATCTGGACTACTGTATCCAAGCATCCAGATTTCACCTTCAAAAGGGTACAGCTGTTTTCGAAAAAGCTCAACGCAAAGCGACAAAAATAATCTCAGAAGTAAGTCAGCTCTCATACCGGGGAAAGGTTGAGGAACTTGGAAGGGGTTAGGATATTTGGGATGGGATGAGGGGGAAGGAATGGTGCCCAACCACTTGGACGGTCGGGGATTGAACGCCGACCTGCATGAAGCGAGACCGTCGCTCACCTTGAAACATTGTCCAGGCCAAGTGGCTGGACAAATTGAAGGATATTAATCCAGACCACATCTCTGATAGGTCTAGTGTAGCACACGACAACAGCTTCAAGCTCAACATGCCACAAAGTTGGACAGAAAACTGGAAATACAATTTCAGCTTTAGGGTAATAAGCCTATGGAACCGCATACCTGCCCAAGTTGTACATTTTTCAGCCCAAAATTCACCAAATAATAAGTGAGGAAATAATTGTTGAATTAAGCCCCCCATGAAGGTGTCGCCAAGGTACTCTGACATCTTATCAGTACATGTGTATCACTGCAGTCGGCCCTCCTAAGGTGTCCCAACGTCAAGAAACTGTCGTACTAAAATCCCCCATCCTAACCGTTGGAGTGCCACAGGGCAGCATCTTAGGACCTCTTCTATTTTTTATATATATCAATGATCTGCCTAATGTCTCTAATATTCTCAAACCTATATTGTTTGCTGATGATACCACCCTCATCTATTCAGACCCCAACCCACATACATTAAATAATGTTGTGAATAATGAATTAAAAAAAGTCCACTTATGGATGTCAACTAACAAACTAACACTAAACATAGAAAAGACCTACTACATCTTATTTGGAAGCAAATCATCGAATGCAATTCAGCTACAGATAGACAACATTAACATCAGTAATAAAAATGATGGCAAGTTTCTTGGCCTATTCCTAGACAAGAGACTCAACTTCAGCACCCACATTCAACACATAACTAAGAAAGTCTCTAAAACCGTTGGTATACTCTCTAAAATAAGATATTATGTTCCTAACTCTGCTCTCCTCTCACTATATTATGCACTAATCTACCCCTATCTTAATTATGGTATCTGTGCATGGGGGTCTACCACTGCAAACCACCTTAAGCCCATCATCACCCAGCAAAAATCTGCTATCAGAATAATAACAAACTCTGCTTTCAGACAACACTCAGCTCCCTTGTTGAAATCCCTAAACTTGCTAAATATTAACTCCCTCCACACATTCTCTTGTGTCAACTACATTTACAAAACCCTGTTCTTAAATGCAAACCATGCTCTGAAACTCTCCCTGGACAGATGTAATAGGACCCATTATCACCACACCAGAAATAAATATCTCTTTGATATCCCCAGGGTCAAAATTAATCTGTGTAAACACTCTATGCAAATTAAGGGACCTAGACTATGGAACTCACTCCCTAGTGAATTGAAAAGCTGTCAAACTTTTGCCTCATTTAAAACCAAAACCAAAAAGTACCTAATTTCATCTTCTTAGTTTCCTACACTGAGCTTTAAATTTGCTCTGTATCTAGTGTTACCCAATCTCCCAATCTTTATGTACATAACCCAAACAACTTTATCATTGTGTTCATTGCTGTCTTCTTTCATGTGCTAGCCATATGCTCTATTGTGCCTGCTAAGTTTTGTTAAACTACCATTCAAGCTGTCATTGTAATCATTCTGAGCTACCTATGTGCTTAATATACCTACAATTTTTCTCTCATCTTTTATTTTTTTCATGCTATGTAACTGTTATCATTTTTATAAATTTTGCAAGTATTTACCTACTTATAAGTTTCTTAGATTAAGGACCTGCCCGAAACGCTGCGCGTACTAGTGGCTTTACAAGAATGTTATTACTATGCAATGTAGCCTCACAATCCCAATGTACCTTCTTGTATATACATAAATAAATAAATAAATAAATAATCAACCAGGTCCCAAAACAGAAAACGGGACAGTATGTCAATTTCGCCAGCCGCTTCCATGTTCTAGTACGACAATTTTTAGCCTTAGGTAGAGTATACGTCAAAATACGTCGTGCTATTAGGACGCGTTGATCACTGACACACTGAAGAGCCGGATAGAAAGTCAAATGAGCCCCTTCCCTTGATGAAAGTTAAATGAGCCCCATACCTCTATGAAAGTCATATGAGCCCCTTATAGTTATGAAAGTCAAATGAGCCCATTACATTTATGAAAGTCAAATGAGCCCTTTACCTTGATGAAAGTCAAATGAGCCCCATACATTTATGAAAGTCAAATGAGCCCCTTACCTTGATGAAAGTCAAATGAGCCCCATACATTTATGAAAGTCAAATGAGCCCCTTACCTTGATGAAAGTCAAATGAGCCCCATACATTTATGAAAGTCAAATGAGCCCCTTACCTTGATGAAAGTCAAATGAGCCCCATAAATTTATGAAAGTCAAATGAGCCCCTTACCTTGATGAAAGTCAAATGAGCCCCTTACCTTTATGAAAGTCAAATGAGCCCCTTACCTTTATGTTTACGCAGATGAATAACTATTTGTGATCTGGCTTTTCAAGTACCCTATATACAGCAGCGTTCATGACTCTTCTTGGACTGAAGTACTGTAGTAAGTCCCGACTTAAAGCTATGGTACTTTACTACTTTTAAATCATTTACTTATATATTTTGTTATTATAAGTTTAGACCATTAACTCTTAGCCCTGTGAATTGCGTTATGTGTCATTTTAGGCTCCTGGATTAAGCTGGGGCTATATCACGTGACTATCAAGCTATATAACATGAGTATCAAGCTATATAACATGAGTATCAAGCTATATAACATGAGTATCAAGCTATATAACATGAGTATCAAGCTATATAACATGAGTATCAAGCTATATAACATGAGTATCAAGCTATATAACATGAGTATCAAGCTATATAACATGAGTATCAAGCTATATAACATGAATTATCATGACTCTGAGCGGGCAGACAATGACTCTAAGCAGCCAGACAATGACTCTGAGCGGCCAGACAATGACTCTAAGCGGCCAGACAATGACTCTAAGCGGCCAGACAATGACTCTGAGCGGCCAGACAATGACTCTGAGCGGCCAGACAATGACTCTGAGCGGCCAGACAATGACTCTAAGCGGCCAGACAATGACTCTGAGCGGCCAGACAATGACTCTGAGCGGCCAGACAATGACTCTGAGCGGCCAGACAATGACTCTGAGCGGCCAGACAATGACTCTGAGCGGCCAGACAATGACTCTAAGCGGCCAGACAATGACTCTAAGCGGCCAGACAATGACTCTAAGCGGCCAGACAATGACTCTAAGCGGCCAGACAATGACTCTGAGCGGCCAGACAATGACTCTGAGCGGCCAGACAATGACTCTAAGCGGCCAGACAATGACTCTAAGCGGCCAGACAATGACTCTAAGCGGCCAGACAATGACTCTAAGCGGCCAGACAATGACTCTAAGCGGCCAGACAATGACTCTAAGCGGCCAGACAATGACTCTAAGCGGCCAGACAATGACTCTAAGCGGCCAGACAATGACTCTGAGCGGCCAGACAATGACTCTAAGCGACCAGACAATGACTCTGAGCGGCCAGACAATGACTCTGAGCGGCCAGACAATGACTCTAAGCGACCAGACAATGACTCTAAGCGGCCAGACAATGACTCTGAGCGGCCAGACAATGACTCTAAGCGACCAGACAATGACTCTGAGCGGCCAGACAATGACTCTAAGCGGCCAGACAATGACTCTGAGCGGCCAGACAATGACTCTGAGCGGCCAGACAATGACTCTAAGCGACCAGACCGGTTGCGGGTGTAGGAGAATCTCTCTGCCAATCTGTTATAGGAGGAACGTACTGATTACTTGAGGTACCAATCATCGGTTATCTCTCTCATAGCTATCTTATCTGGGGAATGTTATCTTGGTGTGAGGTGATGTGTCCCCCAGGGTGGGAGGGAGTATCCTGTTAATATGCTCAATATGTCAATCTTTAGACAATTTAGTACATAGTTTTTGTGGCGTAACAGCTGGAGAGGACGGGATGGGGGTGAGAACGGCCAGCCTTGTCCGCTCTCATCTCGACAGGCCTAAAGGATTTTTTAAAATTGTTATTTTAATATAAATATTCCTTTTTTTTCTTCAGGAGTGAATGCTGTATGAAATTACAGATATTTGCGGTGAGGGAGGTTCAGCGATCTTGAAGCTGGGCTTCTGGCAGCACTTGAGCAGCTTGTACAGCACCTGAGCAGCTTGTACAGCACTTGAGCAGCTTGTACAGCACTTGAGAAGCTTGTATAGCACTTGAGCAGCTTGTACAGCACCTGAGCAGCTTGAACAGCACTTCAGCAGCTTGTACAGCACCTGAGCAGCTTGTACAGCACCTGAGCAGCTTGTACAGCACCTGAGCAGCTTGTACAGCACCTGAGCAGCTTGTACAGCACCTGAGCAGCTTGTACAGCACCTGAGCAGCCTTCAGAAGCGAGCAGGGACAGGCAGGGAGCCCAGCGCCTCCTGGAACAACAAACACCAAAGGGAAAAAGAGACCAGTTACCAGGGGCCGTAGAGACGCTGCCGAAGGAGGATGGGAAGCAAGACCAGCAAGAAACTAGTCCCCAACAGACCTCCTCCCAGGGTCCCAGCGACGGGCCCAACCCCAACCAAGATGGTGGCTAGAACCCGGCGGAAGATGGTCCCTCCGGACGGTGGATGGGGGTGGATGGTGGTGCTCGGCTCCTGCCTCTCACTGGTCAGTACTCTCCAGTACACATTCCCTATCTCACATCCTTATCCTGACCCCCCTTCCAAGTGCTATATAGTCGTAATGGTTCGGTGCTTCTTCCCTGATACTTTCCTCATCTCTATGGCTGCAGTAGTGGAGGCTTCAAGCCGGTGGTGTAAATATGAGATATTTACACTGCTGATTCCTGTGGGCATAATGTCCATTGTTTTGACAGTAAATTCCCAGCTTTTGTGATTCTCCAATATGTGTTTTACTACTTTAGACAGATCTGTTTTAGATGATTAATTGAAATATAATAATTATTGAATGAAGCAGACATAATATTCAATGTGTTTCTTAATTACAAAGAACATACAAACCCATACAAAATAAAAACAAATCACATTAAATGCAGATAATTTTGAGTGTGTGTGTCTGTGCTAGAGAGTGCCTTATGATATATATATTAATCCTAATCATAGGCATTCAGAATCCCTTATCGTGGCATATCTCTGTATATTGAACCTCTAAACCTTTGGAAAAGGTGTGATCCACCTGTCCTGAAGTTACGAGGGAAACAACAACAGTTTAATGTATCAGAAATTTGATTCCAAGTCCGGAAACTTGGGCAGCGACTATGATTCCTCTTTCAATCATTTTATGAGTCGATGCGTTTGATATTAATGGGTAATTAACGATGAATTGGTATATAATTTATGGGGTAACGTCTAGGACAGGAGAAAATATCGAGGCAGTGCGGTGGGATCGAACTAGCGTTCCTGGGATACCACAGCCACACGCACTGCAGACTGAACAAAGATGAACTCGAAGGTATCTTGACTAATAGTACCGCCAGTCTTACGTGGAGTTCAGCAGGTACCATTCAGTCTGATTTCATCAAGCATGTCTAGGATATAATTGTATTTTCTAATTTTTTATCACCAAGTCAACTCTATCTCTGTAATATCTTGTTGTCTGATCCCCTGTCTGAGTGGCGAGTACCAATCAGAGTATTATTTATTTATTTATTTATATACAAGAAGGTACATTGGGTTTGTGAGAATACATAGCATAGTATCTGTCGTCTCTCCGTAGTTCTTCTTCCCGGCTGTGACTGTGGCGTTTGGCGTGCTGTTTAGGGAACGTCTGCAGGAGCTGGGCTCCGGAGCCACGGCCTTCACTATCATTGCCAACGGACTCAGCATCTCCTGGAGCTTCATGGGTGAGTGGGTGGACACGGCAAGACTTGTCTGACGCAGGGAGAGGTAGTGTCCCTGACATGGGTGAGTGGGTGGACACGACAAGACTTGTCAGACACAGGGAGAGGTAGTGTCCCTGACATGGGTGAGTGGGTGGACACGACAAGACTTGTCAGACGCAGGGAGAGGTAGTGTCCCTGACATGGGTGAGTGGGTGGACACGACAAGACTTGTCAGACGCAGGAGAGGTAGTGTCCCTGACATGGGTGAGTGGGTGGACACGACAAGACTTGTCAGACGCAGGGAGAGGTAGTGTCCCTGACATGGGTGAGTGGGTGGACACGGCAAGACTTGTCAGACGCAGGAGAGGTAGTGTCCCTGACATGGGTGAGTGGGTGGACACGACAAGACTTGTCAGACGCAGAGAGAGGTAGTGTCCCTGACATGGGTGAGTGGGTGGACACGACAAGACTTGTCTGACGCAGAGAGAGGTAGTGTCCCTGACATGGGTGAGTGGGTGGACACGACAACACAGCGGACACAGCCACAGGGCTATGAAAGATAAGTAAAATTCGCTCCCTCCGGTAGTCAGGGAGCGTAACTGTATACATTACTTGCATAAAGTACGTGTATAAAGTACTTGTAATATACATACTTATATAAACGTAGTAGAGTACTTGTATATAATGATAAACACTGGCGTGGATGTTTGTTACAATGACACAGGGACATAACTATGCGCCACAAAAGCCTCCTTAGACAGGTGGTAAACAGAGCAATACTTACGAACCTGTACATCTTTCCTGAATCTTTGACGGCTTTGGTTACATTCATTAAACAGTTAACAAGCATGAAAACTTGCCAATCAACTGTTGTTATTGTTATAAACAGCCTCCTGGTGCTTCGGAGCTCATTAACTGTTTAATATTTGTAAACAAAGCCGCCAAAGATTGAGAAAAGATGTATAGGTTCGTAAGTGCTTGCGTAACTGCTTCGTGAATCTGCATGGTGATGCAGGCCAGCGAGGCTTCTCACACCCCCACCACTAAGACCGGCCTGGTGTCCGTACAGCGCTGCTGATGGCGCCCTTGTGTGAGCTGTTCGGATACCGCCGTATGACGATTGCCGGGGGACTGCTGGCATTCTTAACCCTGGTGCTTTGTGCCTTCAGTACCAGCGTCGTAGCGTTTGGGCTCGTCTACTCTGTCCTTGGAGGTATGTCTCCTGCTGCTCCTACCATCGCTACTGATACTGGTCCTGCTACGTCAACTGTTACTACTACTACTTTGTTACTGCTTGTGTCTTATACTGTTACATTTGCTACTTAAACTTATTATTGCTACACTGTTGCTACTGCTCCTGTTACCTATACCGCCACTGTTGTTACGTACACTCTTGATACAGCTTTGTAATGTAATAAACAATGAACAATCATAACAAAACCATTGCAAAACTGCTATCCGTACAGGGATGGCTTGCGCTATGTCCACCTTCAGCGGCATGGTGATCATCACTCGCTACTTCGACCGTCATAAGGGCCTCACCAACGGCATCATAGCCTCGGCCGCAGCTCTGGGTAAGCAGGGTAGGCTTGGGGGATGGCCGCTGCTCTGGGTAAGCAGGGTAGGCTTGGGGGATGGCCGCTGCTCTGGGTAAGCAGGGTAGGCTTGGGGGATGGCCGCTGCTCTGGGTAAGCAGGGTAGGCTTGGGGGATGGCCGCTGCTCTGGGTAAGCAGGGTAGGCTTGGGGGATGGCCGCTGCTCTGGGTAAGCAGGGTAGGCTTGGGGGATGGCCGCTGCTCTGGGTAAGCAGGGTAGGCTTGGGGGATGGCCGCTGCTCTGGGTAAGCAGGGTAGGCTTGGGGGATGGCCGCTGCTCTGGGTAAGCAGGGTAGGCTTGGGGGATGGCCGCTGCTCTGGGTAAGCAGGGTAGGCTTGGGGGATGGCCGCTGCTCTGGGTAAGCAGGGTAGGCTTGGGGGATGGCCGCTGCTCTGGGTAAGCAGGGTAGGCTTGGGGGATGGCCGCTGCTCTGGGTAAGCAGGGTAGGCTTGGGGGATGGCCGCTGCTCTGGGTAAGCAGGGTAGGCTTGGGGGATGGCCGCAGCTCTGGGTAAGCAGGGTAGGCTTGGGGGATGGCCGCAGCTCTGGGTAAGCAGGGTAGGCTTGGGGGATGGCCGCTGCTCTGGGTAAGCAGGGTAGGCTTGGGGGATGGCCGCTGCTCTGGGTAAGCAGGGTAGGCTTGGGGGATGGCCGCAGCTCTGGGTAAGCAGGGTAGGCTTGGGGGATGGCCGCTGCTCTGGGTAAGCAGGGTAGGCTTGGGGGATGGCCGCTGCTCTGGGTAAGCAGGGTAGGCTTGGGGGATGGCCGCTGCTCTGGGTAAGCAGGGTAGGCTTGGGGGATGGCCGCTGTGGGGGACAGGGAGGGATGCCGTTGGCCTCACCAACGGCATCATAGCCTCAGCCGCAGCTCTGGGTAAGCAGGGTAGGTTTGGGGGATGGCCGCTGTGGGGGACAGGGAGGGTCTCAGATCCTGAGAATGAGCTGGATCAACACACAGTGGTTGACATTCCCAGCATACAGCAGCGCATCTAGCTGAGCTACGAACGTAAATCTATTGACGTAGTGTGTATATTTAGCCATAAATGTCTGTGTCTTTCTTTTACTGAGTGGAAGTCCTTTGATACCCGCAGGGAAGATCACAATGGCGCCGGTGCTCCGCGTCCTGCTGGACCAGTATGGGTACATGTGGGCGTGTCTTCTGACGGGGGCGCTCTCCCTCCACGCCTGCGTCTCCGGCATGCTCTACCAGCCCCCAGAGTGGCACTTGGTAAACACTTTGTCTATGTTGATCAAACCACACACTAGAAAGTGACGGGACGACGACGTTTCGGTCCGTCCTGGACCATTCTCAAATCACAATCGACTTAGAGAATGTTCCAGGACGGACCGAAATGTCGTCGCCCCCTTCACCTTCTACTGTGTGGTTTAGTCAACATATTTCAGCCACGTTATTGTGACTCCTCGTCCACTTTGTCTATCATAACTAAGTTCGATAACAAATGAATATCTTAGTTACCGTTTTTGCCAGGGTGGTAGTTTAGGTCAGGTTCTTGGTCCGCCATATTATTGAGGTAGTTCCTTCCCATGTTTGGGTACTGTAAGTTAGATAGGGAACAGTTAGTGAGTGAGAATATATGGCGAGAAGAGTAGAGAAAAGGGAACAAAGTATTGGAATTTTTAAAGTATGCCAACGATTTTGAAAAATCTTGGTTATTCGTTGTAATATGAGTTTAGAAGTTCAGAGTGTTAGCAATGTATAGGTCTAGGAATCTTTTATAGCTCATATATGTATCTACACCCATGGAATTTAATGTGTTATTTGTTTCTACAAGTCAGCAAAGTGGGACATTTTCATACAAAATTGTAGCTATTTTACTATTGCCTAGTTACTTAAGTCACTAGGCTAACCCTGACGGTTACAAATTTAGCAATATCTAGAAACTAATTAATTTTCATTATGTTTTCCTATATTAATAAAGCTTTTAATTATTCTCAATTCTCATTATTTATTATAGATCCCTGAGAAGCATGTCACACAAGGTGGATTATCCCGGCAGACTTCTATATCGACAATGTCAGTCACAATCACGGAAAATGGCGTAGTGGAGCAGAAGGACGCGGAGGCGCTGCCAGCGCCCCCACCCCGGACAGCGGACGACGACGAGGGAGAAAACGTCATTTACGTCATGCCAACTACTCCAACTACCGTCCACCCTATTCATAAAGACGACGAAGTAGTTCTCTTCTCGCGATCGTGTGAGGTGCCGCCAAAGAGAGACATCAGGAGCAGTAAAGTAGCTCTGACGGATTCTCGCTTGTCGTTGTTTGGGTCGATGCCGCTACTGACGCCGGTGGAGTACAAGGTCTATGACGACGGCGACGACGTGACCCAGCAGTCCTCCTGCTGGGGAGACTGTCTCCTTGTCAAGGTCTTCTATACCCCACTTAGTTCTATAGCTTGTGTGATAATTTTCCCCATATTTAAATTGGGAAAAAGTTACGTCACAACGAATCTCTGTAACTAGTACAGGGAACTGTAATTTCAAAGTTTTTGTGAGTGAAAAGAATTCGTTTCGGACTGTAACATTTGTTATAATTCATAATTACAAACAAAAATAGCAAAAAAATAATTTGATATGCAAGCCTAACTCTACAAGAATTTGTGTACAAAGAAAAAATATATAGCCTATTACATTAATTTACCTTAATTATAAATTACTTAAGTTCTTTGATGATTAAGAGAGATGTTGTTGCAGGTTTTCAGCATGTTGAACTACGCCATGGTGAGGGAGCCTCGGTTTCACCTGATAGCCTGGCCCAACGCCCTCGCCATTGCTGCCACCATCAACCTCATGTACGCCCTGCCAGGCTACGTGGCCTCCATCGGCTACACGCCCTACCTCAGCGCCTTTGCCATATCGATCTTCAGCGCCACAGAGGTGAGGCCTACCTTCCCCCACGAGGTAGTGGGAATGTTTACGTGTTTCTAAGTACGTCAGTAAGTAGATATAAACGTAAATATTGAAATGGTCGATGTCAAGGACATCATAAATGGATATTTAGTGTATAGGAACCACAGGAAAGTAACATTTCTCACCCTCCTGAAAATCAGGACGTTCTCTGATAAGGTTCACAGTTCTGGCAGTGCGATCCAGGTCATTGCTGCATTATGTGTACATGAGTTAGCTGGTGTTTGGCTCTGTAGTTCCGTGTGTCAGCTGCTGTTATTGTGTTTGCTGTCCTCCTTCATCTAGTGTGTGTGACAGTGGGATGGTTCTCATGTTAGCTAGATGGTGCAGTGCTGACAATTAATTATATGTTTATCATGATGACAGGCGGTGTTTCGGCTGGTGTTTGCAGCTCTCTCTGACCATTCGTGGTTCCCCATTGAGTTGGCCTACACTGCCGGCTTCACCTTCTCCGCGCTGTCCATAGCAGGTATAATGTCCAAACCACACACCGGAAGATGAAGAGACGACGACGTTTCGGTCCGTCCTGGACCATTATCAAGTCGTATATCACATACGACTTGACAAACGGTTTTAACAATGGTCCAGGACAGACCGAAACGTCGTCGTCTCTTCATCTTCTGGTATGTGGTTTGGTCATATCTTCACTTTATTTTGACTCATCATCTGTATATAGCAGGTATACCTTCATTTACGGCACCTCATTCCCGTACAGGGAACGGATACAAGATACAGCGTATATATGACGTTCGCAAACTGATTTTAAAACCTTACTCTAACCTATCTAACCTGAGTCACAATACACAAGGCGACCTTCCATATCACAGGACCCCACTGGAAGCCTAGCAAGGCACTCCAGAGCCACATAATGTGCACCCACAAGTCAATCATCTGGGTTGTTGTTGGGCTTAAGGCCTCTCATCCTCCGACGGGTTATTAAGGTCACTGACGCGCCAATAAGTATACTTTAGTCTTCCCCTAATTTAAATTTGAGTTAATACAGTTTTCTATATATAATCTCATCACCACTACACACTCATCGCTTTAAAACTTTGTGTATATTTACGTCTCTCTGACTCAGTATTCAGGCGTCACAGTAAGTAATTTAAATAGGTATAAAGAAGGTAAAATATGTGAATATCAACCACTTGGAAGTTAAAATATTCCATTAGATTTCTGAAATAGTGTATTTCATTATGGGATAATTCAGTATGGATCCTGGATATATTGTATTCCTTCAAGACCTTAGAGCTTAGTTCCCTCCCTCCTTACCTTAGAGCCTCCCTCCCTACCTTAGAGCCTCCCTCCCTCCCTACCTTAGAGCCTCCCTCCCTCCCTACCTTAGAGCCTCCCTCCCTGCTTTAGAGCCTGCCTCCCTCCCTACCCAAAAGCCTGCCTCGCTGACAGCCTGCCTGCCCCCAGCACTGCCACTGTGGAGGTGCTACGCCTGGATCATGGGGTGTCTGGTGGTGAACGGGGTGGCCATGAGTCTGACCAACGTCCTGCTCATCCACATGGTCGCCGAGCACCTGGGCCTGCAGGTGTACGCCCAGGCCGTCGGCTTCTTCTCCCTCATCAACGGCCTCGTCATCGTCGTCGGCGGCTCCACCACTGGTAAGCACACACACACATGCACTTGTCAATTGCAAATGCAACGTGATAAAGGACTTGGAAGCAAATATGCAGCATGCAGGCGAGGAGTCACAATAACGTGGCTAAAGTATGTTGACCAGACCACACACTAGAAGGTGAAGGGACGACGACGTTTCGGTCCGTCCTGGACCATTCTCAAGTCGATTGTCACAATCGACTTGAGAATGGTCCAGGACGGACCGAAACGTCGTCGTCCCTTCACCTTCTAGTGTGTGGTCTGGTCAACAAAATATGCAGCATCAATGGAATACTATTCGAGTGCATCATGCACTGTAAATCACTATAGAGAAGTAAATCTAATTGAACTAGACGGTAGAGCGACGCTTCATGCAGGTCGGCGTTCAATCCCCGACCGTCCAAGTGGTTATACACCATTCCTATTCCCCCGTCCCATCCCAAATCCTTATCCTGACCCCTTCCAAGTGCTATACAGTCATAATGGCTTGGCCCTTTCCCTGATAATTGCGTCTCTGAAGCTGTTCTCCTCCCACAGGCTTCATCAGAGACTATACCGACAGTTACAAGGCCACCTTCTTCTGGATCGCTGCCGTTATTGCAGTCGCCGCTGGTGTTTGGATCTCCAGATGTTGCTTCAAGACTATCACCAGCAAATACAATAAAGTTTCAAACCCGACGCAGTGATTGGGCACGGTAGCTGTGTCCTACAAGGTAGTTTCATTGCCTCTGAAACTACACTAGACAGTAGTTTCAGGCACTGTCTGAAACCAGAGATGACCATACGTACATAGGCATCTTCAGAGGCAATTACTGACGCAAGGTGAACCCGGATGTAGTTAGCTATAGTGGTTGAGGCTAATCACACTTCTGGTGCAGTTAAATTCTTGTTCAGGCACAGTAGCTGAGGCTATGGAAGTCCACATGTTAAGAGATTAAGAGATACAGGCCAGGCTCGTTAAAGCAGCGGTCATGCCTGAGGTGTGGCTCTATGGCTCAGGTGAGCCTCTGTGTACATCAGGTACTGGAGAACCAGACCACAATACGGCCAGGAAACTTTGCCTAATAATTGCAGAGTTATATAAGAAAAAAATATAGGTTTTGGTGTGATGTTGGACTTAAGACTTAAACCGCTCAAAAATACGCAAGTCCACTTCTATGTATATATATATATATACAGCGAGAAACGGGGAATACTCCTATGTATAAATGGCCCTTATGAATTCTATTAGTGCCAGAGATTGACATGTATTTAATAAACGTTTGTTGCCCAAAACGCTACGCGTCCTAGTGGCTTTACAAGAATGTTAATTCAACTTTTTTTCTATATTCTCTGTTAACCCCAATGTAACTTCTTGTATATAAATAAATACATAAATATAATAAACAATTATTTTGTTCTGCAGAAAGTTAATAATTTAAATGTAAATTTCGAGTATATATATATATATATATATATATATATATATATATATATATATATATATATATATATATATATATATATATATATATATATATATATATATATATATTGGTGTATACTGGCAGAAGGTTTTCTTTCAAACATGTTTCATTGAATATGACCGCATATTCTGTATTTATTATTTTCTGGTTTAGGGCTTCTATCCCTCTAACTATTTTCTTAGCATCAGGGCTTAGTTGAAATAGGAGTTCTCCAAAACTCATTTTCGTACTTTTAAGGTAAAGAAAAGAAGTGATTTACTATAGAGTGTATTACACTTAATTATACAATTTGCACAACGTTTCGAACCTCCATGGTTCATTCTCAAGTGAACAGATCTTACAATGCTGGTTGATTAACATAACGATGCCAACACAGAAGACAATGTCCAACATAACAGGCCAATTACACTGGATTAATCTTTGTGTTTAGATAGGAGCTGCCTCGTATGGGCCAATAAGCCTTCTGCAGTTACCTCTGTTTCACCTCACATTTATCTCTTATGTATCCCCCATGTTTTCACCTTTATAGTATTATCAGCTGACCCAGTGCGGGTATAAAATCAACCAGCATTGTAAGATCTGTTCACTTGAGAATGAACCATGGAGGTATTGAAACGTTGTGCAAATTGGGGCACACGTGAGGAACACAAATGCGAACAAGCCTGAATGGTCCCCAGGACAATATGCAACTGAAAACTCACACCCCAGAAGTGACTCGAACCCATACTCCCAGGAGCCACGCAACTGGTATGTACAAGACGCCTTAATCCACTTGACCATCACGACCGGACAAAATGAGGTGATAGCCGAGGCTATTTGAACCACCCCACCGCCGGCACTCGGATAGTAATCTTGGGCATAGCATTTTACCAAATCACCTCATTCTTTGGGGCACACGTGAGGAACACAAATGCGAACAAGCCTGAATGGTCCCCAGGACAATATGCAACTGAAAACTCACACCCCAGAAGTGACTCGAACCCATACTCCCAGGAGCCACGCAACTGGTATGTACAAGACGCCTTAATCCACTTGACCATCACGACCGGACAAAATGAGGTGATAGCCGAGGCTATTTGAACCACCCCACCGCCGGCACTCGGATAGTAATCTTGGGCATAGCATTTTCAGTTGTTTTCAGTTGAGTTTTCAGTTGCATATTGTCCTGGGGACCATTCAGGCTTGTTCGCATTTGTGTTCCTCACGTGTGCCCCAAAGAATGAGGTGATTTGGTAAAATGCTATGCCCAAGATTACTATCCGAGTGCCGGCGGTGGGGTGGTTCAAATAGCCTCGGCTATCACCTCATTTTGTCCGGTCGTGATGGTCAAGTGGATTAAGGCGTCTTGTACATACCAGTTGCGTGGCTCCTGGGAGTATGGGTTCGAGTCACTTCTGGGGTGTGAGTTTTCAGTTGCATATTGTCCTGGGGACCATTCAGGCTTGTTCGCATTTGTGTTCCTCACGTGTGCCCCAAAGAATGAGGTGATTTGGTAAAATGCTATGCCCAAGATTATCCGAGTTTGGGGTGGTTCTAGCCTCGGCTATCACCTCATATGGTCAAGTGGATTAAGTCTTGTACATACCAGTTGCGTGGCTCCTGGGAGTATGGGTTCGAGTCACTTCTGGGGTGTGAGTTTTCAGTTGCAGTCCTGGGGACCATTCAGGCTCGCATTTGTGTTCCTCACGTGTTCTATGCCCAAGATTACTATCCGAGTGCCGGCGGTGGGGTGGTTCAAATAGCCTCGGCTATCACCTCATTTTGTCCGGTCGTGATGGTCAAGTGGATTAGTCTTGTACATACCAGAGTATGGGTTCGAGTCACTTCTGGGGTGTGAGTTTTCAGTTGCATATTGTCCTGGGGACCATTCAGGCTTGTTCGCATTTGTGTTCCTCACGTGTGCCCCAAAGAATGAGGTGATTTGGTAAAATGCTATGCAGATTACTATGCCGGCGGTGGGGTGGTTCATATTATCACCTCATTTTGTCCGGTCGTGATGGTCAAGTGGATTAAGGCGTCTTGTACATACCAGTTGCGTGGCTCCTGGGAGTATGGGTTCGAGTCACTTCTGGGGTGTGAGTTTTCAGTTGCATATTGTCCTGGGGACCATTCAGGCTTGTTCGCATTTGTGTTCCTCACGTGTGCCCCAAAGAATGAGGTGATTTGGTAAAATGCTATGCCCAAGATTACTATCCGAGTGCCGGCGGTGGGGTGGTTCAAATAGCCTCGGCTATCACCTCATTTTGTCCGGTCGTGATGGTCAAGTGGATTAAGGCGTCTTGTACATACCAGTTGCGTGGCTCCTGGGAGTATGGGTTCGAGTCATTCTGGGGTGTGAGTTTTCAGTTGCATATTGTCCTGGGGACCATTCAGGCTTGTTCGCATTTGTGTTCCTCACGTGTGCCCCAAAGAATGAGGTGATTTGGTAAAATGCTATGCCCAAGATTACTATCCGAGTGCCGGCGGTGGGGTGGTTCAAATAGCCTCGGCTATCACCTCATTTTGTCCGGTCGTGATGGTCAAGTGGATTAAGGCGTCTTGTACATACCAGTTGCGTGGCTCCTGGGATATAGTCACTTCTGGGGTGTGAGTTTTCAGTTGCATATATTCAGGCTATATATATATATATATATATATATATATATATATATATATATATATATATATATATATATATATATATATATATATATATATAGTAAAGAGTAAAACATTTTTTTAATCAATAGTCTATAATTAATAAAATATATTGACTACATGTATATAAATATATATATGTTAAGAAATTCTAATTAACAATGAATAGATCTCTTCTTATATAGCGAAATGCAGTAAAATGTAATACAAACGCTTGATACTTATAATATATTTTAGTTTCCCTTAAATTATTTATTTATATTCTTGCCTACTGATGACTTGTAATGTTCCAGCATAATACTTTACGAAAATTGGTTTATTTTTTGTTATTTGGTACTTTTAATACCAAGCGTTGATAGCTGATATTTTTTTTATAATTTTTTATAATAGATGACAAATTAAGATATAAAATAAAAAATGTTTTGAAGCCAAGATTGTGATGGAGGCAGCTCCTCAGGAAGAACAAAATATTGAACAAATTGTGCAACATTGCCAAAAAAGTATGCACACAAAGTCTCTAAGAAGCTACTGCTTGATGAACAATTTTACGAGTGGATCGTTAAAAAGGAGAGACCAGAATACAGCATTTTGTAACTACTGATCTCTTAGCTCGGTGTTATAACCTAGACATTCAGAGAACAGTTGATATATACATAATTCCCCTAAGCATTAACGATTACACAGAAAAAGGTATCTTAATTAACATGGACTGAAATATTTTTTAAGCAGCACATTGTGCCTATTGAAAACGTGATAGGAATTACCAGTGATAGAAATATGAGAGAGAGAGAGAGAGAGAGAGAGAGAGAGAGAGAGAGAGAGAGAGAGAGAGAGAGAGAGAGAGAGAGAGAGAGAGAGAGAGAGAGAGAGAGGGGAGAGGAAAGATAGGTGCCAGGCGTTAGTTGACGTTTGGTTGGCGGAGGACACACACGTCTCGTTTCCCGGTCCGGCGTCGGGCGCTGAGACACAGTGGCTTCCTTGGCTCTATCCTCGTGTGGGGGCTGGTGTGGTAAATATTACCCCGTGTGGGGGCTGGTGTGGTAAATATTACCCCGTGTGGGGGCTGGTGTGGTAAATATTACCCCGTGTGGGGGCTGGTGTGGTGAATATTACCCCGTGTGAGGGCTGGTGTGGTAAATATTACCCCGTGTGGGGGCTGGTGTGGTGAATATTATCCCGTGTGGGGGCTGGTGTGGTAAATATTATCCCGTGTGGGGGCTGGTGTGGTAAATATTACCCCGTGTGGGGGCTGGTGTGGTAAATATTACCCCGTGTGGGGGCTGGTGTGGTAAATATTACCCCGTGTGGGGGCTGGTGTGGTGAATATTACCCCGTGTGAGGGCTGGTGTGGTAAATATTACCCCGTGTGGGGGCTGGTGTGATAAATATTACCCCGTGTGGGGGCTGGTGTGGTGAATATTATCCCGTGTGTGGTGTGGTGAATATTATCCCGTGTGGTGTGGGGGCTGGTGTGGTAAATATTATCCCGTGTGGGGGCTGGTGTGGTAAATGGGGCTGGTGTGGTAAATATTACCCCGTGTGGGGGCTGGTGTGGTAAATATTATCCCGTGTGGGGGCTGGTGTGGTAAATATTACCCCGTGTGGGGGCTGGTGTGGTAAATATTACCCCGTGTGGGGGCTGGTGTGGTGAATATTACCCCGTGTGAGGGCTGGTGTGGTAAATATTACCCCGTGTGGGGGCTGGTGTGGTGAATATTACCCCGTGTGGGGGCTGGTGTGGTGAATATTATCCCGTGTGGGGGCTGGTGTGGTGAATATTACCTCGTGTGGGGGCTGGTGTGGTAAATATTACCCCGTGTGGGGGCTGGTGTGAATATTACCCCGTGTGGGGGCTGGTGTGAATATTATCCCGTGTGGGGGCTGGTGTGTTAAATATTACCCTGTGTGGGGGCTGGTGTGGTAAATATTACCCCGTGTGAGGGCTGGTGTGGTGAATATTACCCCGTGTGGGGGCTGGTGTGGTGAATATCACCCGTGAGAGGAGGCAGGAGGCCTGTACACCCGGCGAGACTCGGGTCTCCAGGAACGTGGGACATAGAGTGAGAGGGATGTAACGATCCTGGCCTCCCGCCGGCCCTATGTGATGCCATCTGACGGGCGGACACCACCACAACCCTGCCTCCCCCAACCACCACTTCCTCAACCACCACCACACGCTGCTACCTCACCTACCACCCCCACCCCAGCCTCC